AACAGATTGGTGATTGATTACTTGACGGGAAGGGAAGAGGGAGGGCGAAAGGATAAAAGGGCACACGTGTACAGTGATGGACGGAACTAGACTTTTGGTGGTGAACACGATGTAGTCTACACAGAAGTTGAAATATAATGACGTATACCTGAAATTTACATAACGTTACAAAACAATGTGACCTCAATAAAAAATTAAATAGAAAAGAAAATTATCATTCTTTGAATTTAAAAATAATAGTAAAAAAATAAACACAAGTTATAGAGTTGCAAGAATCCAGAGAGCAGGTGTCAAATTAGCATTTAGGCAAACCCTCAGTAAGAACCTTGCAGGCACACCTAGTCCCGAGGCTGGTCCAGATTTTCCTATATTAATATACTTATCCTAACAACACTGATATTGTTCACAACAGTTTTGCTACTCCTTTTTTGGAAATGCCTTCTGACTTGGTTTATGAGACACAGAAGAAAATCAATATCTCCACTTCATTCACATCTTGATTTTCTCAGTTAAACTAAATATATTTGCACCCCCTGTTCAGACTTGTCTGCAAATTACTTTGTCAGTTTCCAAAAAGGATGAAGATTAGCTGTCAGAGATATTCATAAGCCTGTGACATAAGCACTGAGTAATACCACCTACCTTTTAGTTTTGTGGAGAAGTTAACATGTGATGTGAACAGTTTATGGAAATGCATTCTTCACAAGAGAGTCTTTTGCAGATTTAGGTGTAAGTGTTTTAACATTTAAATGAATAATTGCATAAGCTAAACTCCAAGTACAGAGAAACAGCATTTGTATTTATTACTTTATGTTTTGTTAAAAAAACCATAACAACAATTTCTTAGAGGCTGTAATACTTCCAAATTTTCCTTTTTAAAACTTCATTATGGAAAATTTCAAATGTATCTAAAAGTAGCGAGAGCAGTATAAGGAAGTCTATGTACTCATTGCCCAGCTTCAGTCGTTAACAACGTAGTCAGCTTTGTCTCATTTATACTCTTACTCAGTCCGTGTCCCCACTGTCAACAAATTACATTGAAGCAAACCTCCAATGTCCTATCGTTCCCTCCTTAAATAATTCAGTACATATTTCTGAAAGATTAGGGATCTTTTAAAAATATAACTACATTATTTTCAAACGTAAAAGAAAACAAAATTCCTCATTATCATCAAATATCCACCCACTCAAGAAATGTACCTGTCTAAGAAAAGAAAGTCAAATGTCAAGGAAAAGATTACCCTGAAAGATATAATATTCAAAAATGAGCCGTTCCCTTGCAATGGAAAGGAAACAGCACCCTCTGAAAGCAGAGAGCTGGAGGTCAGGGGCTTTAACGACAGGGGATCCAAGAACGCTATGCAAAATTGGTATCATTTACATATGAACAATTTTTTTCTTGGTTCATAACATTCATCCAAATGCCAAGCAGCTGGAGACTGAAAACACTTAAAGACCTACTGCCCTTGGTTATGACTGTGTGTGCTTAGTGGCACATCACCTCACACTGCCAGGAAGGATTAGTCAAGTAGGGAAATAAATCCCCCTAAAATAACTTAGGGATCAAATTGAATTCAACTCAGCATGTACTGAGCACACAGTAGGCACAAGGCACTGGGTTACATCTTGAGAAACAAGGGAAATTAGTCCTAGTTAATTTATAGTTTGGAAGGAGAAGGGGTCAAATAGATTAATAAACACTATAATAGAATGTCCTGAAAAAGGTGCCTGCTTTAGGTATTTTCATGGAGATCCAGAGGAAGAAGCAATTTGGGGGGTGGGAAGACTAGGGCTCATACGAAGATAGGAGACAATTGGAGGATGCCAATAATTACACCAGCAACTCCTGTGTAAAGATTTTGTTTATCCTATTTGCTGAGGGACAGGAACAAATGTGTTTACTAATGTCTGTATTTTCCTCACTGGATGGGGTGGGAGAGGTGATCCTGAAGGCTGGAGAGAAAAGGTTATGTATAAGTAGTATCTTGAAAGTTGAGCGATTCATAAGATCTGCGGAGGAGAGAGAGTCAGTGAAGAGGGAAGGGAGGTCACTCCAGAAAAAGAAAAGCAGGAACAAAGGGGTGAAAATTACTGGTATGTTAGGGAACCAGCAGTGTGGTGACATTACAGCAGTGTGTGGGAGGGGCTGGCTGACTGGAAATGCTGGCTGAGACCAGAAGTTGGAGCCTTTCAAGCTAGACTTGGCCCTCTATTCTGTGGCCAGTGGAAAGCCATTGACATGTTTTAAGGGACTCAGTTCTGTCTTTCAGACTCTGTCTTGTCTTTGGGGGGATGATGGGTGCTCAATGTTTATTGAAGTGATGGTTCCTTGAATTAGCTGGATGGGGTGAGCGGAGAGAGAAGCAGGCCACTTAGGAATCCATTGCAATAGACTGGCAGAATTCTAGGGTGGGAGAAGCAGAAAAGAGATGAGGGGACACATATAAGAATTTCAGATATTTCAGAAATCATTATTTTTCAAAAAGTGAAGAAAGAAATGGAAGAGAGACCAAAGCATCATACCAATTCTATTACACAGTGTGGAACAATGTGTTAGTATGCTCTCATTTCTGCAAAAAAAAAAAAGTAGAAATATCCATATAAGCTATAAACTCATCAAATATCTCGGGAAGGACATGAGAGAAATAGATACCATTGCACTGGACTGGGCAAAGAAGCAGGAGAGAGGCTTTTGTAACTTTGGCATGCTGATCCACGTGAATGTATTATCTCTCAGCTCGTTAGAATACATAATTTCCCCCTTACTGCCAGCCACATAAGCAAAGAATAGTGAAAAGAGAAAGGGTTTTGGAGAAAGATCTAGGTTCCAATTCTGGCTCTGACACCTCCTAACTGTGAGGGCACGGGCAAATTAACTTCTTTTAGGGCAGTCCTCTTATTTGCAGAAATAGGGATAATATTGGCTAATTCCTGGGTCACTATAACAGTGATTAAAATAATCCTATACAAAGCATCTGTTAGAACATCTGGCACAGACTAAATACTCAATAGTAGTAGCTATTTTATTACCAAGCACAAGAAAACTTCTTTGATGTCAATGCATTTCTAGCACAAGAAAAGTTCCTTAATCTAGTCTAAGGTATGCTCATTAGCTAATCTTATTCACATTAAAAATTTACACTGTACAAAATGATTAAGGTAATCCCCTTGATGAACACTATCCATTATGTGTCTGTTTCTAGAAATTGAAACGTATTCTTTACCTGCATTTCTAGGTAGAAGTTAGCTTTTGTCTTTAAATGTCATTTACTCTAAGTTTACTGAAGACATGTATTCACAGTGGACTAAATACCAACCAGGTGCCATAAGGCATCGAGAAAATAGACAGCAAATTGCTATCCTCAAGGAACTGACAACCCCAGTGAGACAAACAGGTGTGACCTTCAAGTAACCATGGCCCAAATTTGGCACAAGAGATGGAAATACTGGCACTGAAGTACCCAATTCTGGCCATGCACCCACTGTAAGATGTGAAGTCACATGTTAGGGGAGGTTACTAGCAAACATTTTCTTAGGTTTGTGGGTTTCTTCTGCATGATACTGTTTTTTAAATTAACTGGAACTGTGGCATTAACAGCATTCTAAGTGTTAGAAAAGATTGGTCACTCTCAAAAGCCTCACTACTTGTTGTTTGAACAGCCACATCCTTATTAAAGCATCACTCAACAAAAGTTTCTTTGTTATACATTGAGATGAATAATTTCAAACCATTTTCATGTGAGATGTTCTGGCTCAGATCTGTTCCAGCCTCTAAAGATGAAGCCTTAGAAAAGAAAACAGCTGGGGTTTAGGAAAGATTTTTGTTAAAGACAGGAAATAAACATCAACATCTTCCAGGATTCACAAGTGTTAGTGAACACTTCAAAAAAATGAAGGCATAAGGTCAGAGGAAAATGCATTTCACTTCATATATGGCACTCTAGGGAGAAAGAGTGGTAGGAGGGGATGCTTAACAAAAAACATCCAGATAATTATTCAAATATTTCTCTTTGAAGCAGACGGGTCTTGGGAGAAACATCAGTACTGGTCTGTAGAGAAACAACAGTAAAACATAAACACTAATTTCTAAAGCTTTCATTGATGCTGTAAATATGTTAAGGTTTGCGCGGCCTGGAGAAATGACTGACTTCATATTAGCAAGCAATCTTGTTACTGAGCCACAGGAGGGTACACACTTGTATTTACCCGCCAGCTACCTATGGTCTAAGCTCGAGGCTACATATTGCAGTTGAATGGAGGTTGGATTAAGAGGCTAATCTAAGGCTATATATAGACAGCAACACCAATTTAATCTCCGCCCCCTTCCCCTCCCCTCCCTATTTCCATAAATCTCAAGATCTGAGTTACAAAGAGACTGGGAACTCTAGCAGAGCGACGAAGAGGCCCTTCCTCCCCCAAGCCGTCTCTCATAAACGAAGTATCAGTGCAAGTGTAAACTGCTTCCAAATATCCTTAACAGGCACCACAGGGCGATCAGATCTTTTCTACTACAGCTTCCACAGAAGCTAAAGGAGATGACAAGTAGAGGCGGGGGGAGGTGTTTTGAGGCTTTGCCAAAAGAAAACTACCTTCTCCCGAGACTATTTGCATCGTGCGTTCACCTCGCTCGTAATGGGGAGCTCTCCTCCCCAACCCACCCCCAGCCCAGAGCCCCATCTCTCGGCAGCTGCATCTGGCAGTGCCACGCACGAGACGAAGTGCACCCGCCACTTCCCACCGCGTGGCGGACCCCCGCCCGCTCGCAGTCCCAGGGTCTCCAGGGGCGGCCAAATGTGGCAAGTGGCGGGTCTTCACTCCGGGGCACTGCTACGCGGTATATGTGACGGTAAGGGGTGGAGGGGAAGCTTCCCCACCGAGAGACAGGAAGCCGCCCCAGCAGGCAGGCACATGCTTTCACCCGGCCAGCTCCGGTCCGGGTGAAGCCCCCGGCGGGGTGGCGGACGCGGCTCCCGCAGCCCTCGCGGCTCCCTCGGCCCTACCTGGGTTGCCTCTCACCTGTCCGAAGGGGTAGCGGCGACGCGCGAGGCTGGGGGCTGCGGCGATTCCGGCAGCGGCAGTGGCAGCGGCGGCGGTGGCGGCGGCAGACAATGGAGGAGTGAAGGACAGACACATTGACATCGACACACGGAGCCCGGCGCAGCCCCGCCTCCCGCACCGCCCCTGCCTCCCGGGCCTCCCCCCGGAGCGGGCCGCGCCACTCCTGGGGAAATGGGGGAGGTGTTGCGAGAGCGGGGGACCTCTGTACGCCCTAAGCAGCAATAACCGGAAACACAACTTCTAGTAGAGAATTTTAAATACTGTGTGTCCCTAAGTACCTGAACTGGACAGGATGGGGTTGGCGGAGCGTGTAAGAGGAATTTAATCCCCCCCTCTGGTTTTCTCCGCTTGGTTTTTCCTTCCCAGGCTGCTCCAATGGGAGTCTCTCCCTGCGGCCTCCTGCAGCTCCGCCTCCCGGCTGGACCAATGACGCGCGGGGGCGGTGACTGCAGCTGGGCCTGCAGACTCCGCCGGCCCGGCTCGCCCGAGCTCGCCCGCTGCTCGCCAGCCCGGGAGCGGGAGGAGAGAATTCGAACGCTTCCGCGGTTGGCTACTCAGTATCGTGGTTGCCTCATTGCGGCTGGCGTTCCTTATACAGACACATCGTTTCTTTGTAATACTTCCAAAGAAACGGAATAACCTTCAAGCTGGCGGGAGCAATGGTTCACATAAAGAAAGGCGAGCTGACCCAGGAGGAAAAGGAGCTGCTGGAAGTCATCGGGAAAGGTAATGGGTGCTGGGCTGCGGCCGGGCGCTGCCAGCCTGGCCGGGGGGCGTGGCGGCGCCTGGGAGGCACTCCTGGGCCCGGCTGACCCTGGGCTGCCGTTCTACGAGGTTGGCAGCCTGGGATCGAGAAATAGTGTTTCTCCCTTCAGTCTGGGATCCGTGGTGGGGGAGAGCTACTGCTGGGAAAAGAGTGGAGGTTGCAGAGGCTCGTCCTCTAACGCAGCTTTGGGAAAGGTACACGTTCCAGGCCCTACTTCAGATTATAGAGACCGACCCCGGGGTGGGGGCCCCAGGATGGGCATTCTTCAAAACTCCTCAAGTGATTTTGTCCGCGGTCCGTCTTCGAGAGTGGCCTTGTAGTTTCAGGTTCTTAGACGGGTGTCTAAAGGGCTGTTTCGACTTCCGGAGGCCGAAAGATCTGGATCCTTGGGCTGTCCCCGCCCCCGCTTGGGGGTGGAGGATCTCCTAGTGAGAGGGCTTCTTTATAAGGTCAGAGAACTAGGTCTCTAATTTGCCGCATCGAGGTTTCCGCGTCCAGGGCCTCTCCGGCTTCCTTCGAGAAGCCCCCGGCCCCCTCTGGAAACCAAAGAGAAGCGAGGAGGTTGGCGAGGCGTCCACGCCTGTCGGCGCACTTAGCACCGCCGGGATCTTCGGATCGCGCTTTCCCTTCCCACTCTCCCAACGCGTGTCCCGCTTCCGCCGCTCGGGGTCGTAGGGAGGGAGACTCAGGCCCTGGGGACCAGCTAGAAGCCATGTTTTCCCCTCAGTCCCCGGGAGGACGTCCCAAAGGAGTTCCCTGCTAAGTCCCGTTACCTGGCAGGTGACATAAGTGTGGCTACGTGGCTTCTCCTGAACCATCACGGCGCAGGGATGGGGGAGTGTGGGACTGCGGGCACAGTTAACGTGGTTGTTTTAAGCTCAACAGTGAGAAAGCCACGTCTGCCATCGAATGGCAGAGAGGCCAGTCATTGCAGCATAAAGGCCCTCCCAGATTCCTGTCTTCTTTCTGTCCAGGTAGCCAGGCTCAAATCTGGACCCTCAGAGAGTAAGGCAAATTTTTTCTGCATACTGACAAGGAAAGTCTAAATGTAAAGGAGAAAATAAAATCGGATTTGATTTCAACAGGTGCTGATGAGCTGAGCCCACACCATCTGATCCGAACAGTTTTAAGTCAGTCGCAGCTCTATTTTTTATGATGTGTTCTTTGCCTAGAATTGTAGGACTTAGAGTTGGTGTTTTTATTGTTTCTTCTGCGCGGTTCTCGCTGACCTATTTGGCACTGCAGTCTTTCTGTTCCCGACTGTCTCTGGGTCATTTCTCCCTGCCTTTGGCGGCGCTGGGATTCAATTCAGCAAACAACGTGAGTCCCAGCTGTGTGCCAGGTCCTGTGCTGGGCAAAAAGGAGACAATGAATCAACACGAAATCCACCAGGAACGCAAATTGTGTTTTTTAAACAGTCCAGAGCTCTGTTCTCTCGTTCTCTCAAAAGTGTAAACCAGTGAACAGTTTTACAAAGTGAGTCTCTGAAAGGGGTACGTGGTCGTGGGTAGAGCCTTGGATATATTCTTAGGTGTCTGCCAGTTTGTATTTTAAAGACTAAATGAAAGAGAATTAATGGGAATTTAGTCTGGTTAGTGCTGTGATATTTCTGGGCCCACGTCGTGGGTCAAGTTGCACCAGTGCACGGACACTGTGTTTCAGCAATTTATTTGGCTCAAGCCCATGAGAAAAGAACTGAGATGAACTTAGTCCGTGATACACTCTTGTCAAGTGAAGGTCCGTGGGTCATCACTGTATTGTCAAAGAAAAGGAATGGGAGATATGAGAAAATAACAACTATAACCAAGCTCTATTGAATATTATTATGAGCCAGGCATAGTTCTTAGCACTCTACATGTATTGATGTATTTAATATTGATGAGCTAGTTATTTTTAAGCTACAGCATTCCTAACCCTGCAGGTCTGGCTTGGAATCCTGCCTCAGTCATTTGCTGGTGATGTGGCCTTGGACAAGTTAATGTTTCTGAGCTTCAGGTTCTCCATGTGAAAAATGATACCCACTTCACAGCGTTGTTGTGAGGATGAAATGAGTTAGTGTGTGGAAAGCGTTTAAAATACTATTTGTGTTGCTGTTATTATTGGTAAATATGGTAATAAAATACTCTTTGTGTTGGCCGTTATTATGGTAAATATGGTAATCTCCACTTTACAGACAAGGAGGCTGAAGAACTGAGAAGCTAGATAACTTGCTCAAGTCACACAGGTAACAAGTGGCAGAGCAGAGGTATTATAGCCCATAGTCCTAGAAATATGCTGGACTTGAAAACAAACCAAACAAAAACAAAGCCAGCACCATACCAGTCCATACCATATTCACTTTGAGAGGCAATTTCATTTCAGCAAAACATTCATCTGTCAAGTTAAATTAATTTTAAATGTTATTGATTTTGTAGTTTTGTGTGCATTTAATTTGTAACATAATTTTTGGTTTATAGTTGAATGAAGGTCATAAGCAGAGTTTATAGGAGCTTTTTTTTTAAGCAGGTGGGTGGAGTTGTAATTTTTTTCCTTTGGTACATTTCCCGACTTTGAGAAGCACTAGATGCGTCAGTACTGGTACTTGGAACTAACAGTACATTTTCAGCCAAGTGTGACCTGTCATCTTGGCCAATCTGAAATAAACTCAGCAAATTTTTTTTTTTTTTTTTTAAAGATTGGCACGTGGGCTAACAACTGTTGCCAATCTCTTTTTTTTTTTCTTCTGCTTTATCTCCCCAAACTCCCCGTGTACACAGTTGTATGTCTTAGTTGCAGGTCCTTCTAGTTGTGGGACGCCGCCTCAACGTGGCCTGACGAGCGGTACCATGTCCGCACCCAGGATCCAAACCCTGGGCTGCCGCAGCGGAGCGAGTGAACTTAACCACTCGGCCACGGAGCCGGCCCCAAACTCAGCAAATTTTTGAGTGTCTCCCTTCTGCCAATCACTGCCCTCCAGAAGCTGAGTAGACGGGAGATGAGACTTACAGTCTAGAGAATCCTGCATGTTGCTTCTGGACACTTTTTAGGACAGTTTCTTCTGAGTGAATTCACATGCTAGGTATTCTGTAGATAGTATATTTGTTCGGATGCCAAGAAGTTCCAGAAGAAACTGAGAAGCTGTTTCCTGTGTACCCATTTAAATCATAGTTAATAACAGCATCCATTTTACGACATTTAAGAAGAGAAAATTGAAATAACTGAAGTGCATTTAACTGGCTTATGTTACTTGTAGATTGACTCATTTTCTAACTTCAGATATCTTTTTCATTAAGCACTGAGGAAGCACTATTTTAAAATAAATTAGACCTTTAAGGGTGTGACCAGATCTTCTGTTACTTTCCTTGTTCAGTACCTGAAATCCCTGAGACCACTGTTGCTGTCTTAACTAGAAAGTAAGGTATTTACTGGTTCTTTTCATTATTTGTGTAAAAGAAGCTATGGAACAGGCTTTAGGTAATAAGGTTTCTTCCACCAACTTTATTAAAGTATAATTAACGTACATAAATGGTGCATACTTAAAGTGTACACTTTCTAAAATCAGGTTTTTTTGGTTTTTTTAATACTGTTGAAATGCCATTGTTTTTTTGTTTTTTGTTTTTTTCTTTTTGTGTGTGTGCAAGATTAGCCCTGAGCTAACATCTGCCACCAATCCCCCTCTTTTTGCTGAGGGAGACTGGCCCTGATCTAACATCCGTGCCCATCTTCCTCTGCTTTGTATGTGGGATGCCTGCCACAGCATGGCTTGACAAGCAGTGCGTATGTCTGCACCCGGCATCCAAACCAGTGAACCCTGGGCCGCTGAAACAGAATGTGTGAACTTAACCGCTGCACCACTGGGCTGGCCCCATAAAATTAGTTTTAACTTAAGTATACATCCATGAAAACGGTCACTACAATGAAGATAATGAACAGTTCCGTCACCCCCAAAAGCTTCTTCATGCCCTTTATAATCTGTCACTCCTACCACCCCTCTCTCCAGGCAACTACTGATAGGTTTCTGCATATATTGATTGGATTTCTTCACTCTAGAATTTTATATAAGTCGAATCATACAGTAAGTATCCTTTTTTTTTGTTTTTTCCGGGACTTCTTTCATTCAGCATCATGATTTTGAAGTTCATTCATGTTGTACCAATAGTTTGTTTCTTATTTTCTTCCTTTATTTCCATTGTATGGATATACCACTATTTGCTTATCTGTTCACATTGATGGACGTTTCAGTTCATTCCAGTTTGTACTATTTAAAAAAGATCCTGCTCTAAGGTCCTGTGTAGTTAATGTTATTTTTAGTATTTTTATGGTTTAGAAAGATTCAGGTCTGCTAATAATCAATTATAGTATAGAGTTCAAAGAAAAATTAAGGGCTGGCCCTCTGCATAGTGGTAAAGTCTGGCATGCTCGGCTTCAGCTGCCTGGCTTCATGGGTTTGGATCTTGGGCGAGGACCTGCACTACTCATCAAGCCATGTGGCGATCCACATACAGAATAGAGGAAGACTGGCACGGATGGTAGCTCAGGGCTAATCTTCCTCAACAAAAAAAAAAAGAAAAGAAAAATTTAACTTAAAATATGTAGTTACTATGAATTATGTGTCTGGGCAGGTTATGCAACCTCTATCAGCTTCATTGTCTTCATTTACAGAACAACAGCCTTTTAGATACTCTGATTTTTATGCAGTGATTCATATTCCCAACTTGTTGGGAATTTTGTTACAAAGTCTGAAATAGATGTTTTTCTAACAAATGTTGTAAAATATTTTGTTACAAAGTCATTTTGTTACAAAGTCTAAAAATAGATACGTGTAGGAGAACTTTTAGAAAATTCACACTTAAACAAATTCACAATTTCAAAATGTTATAATTAGAAATGTCTACTTTAAAAATACGTTTTTAACTATATATCTTATTCAGTCTATACCCATATATTGTTATTTTAAAATTTAGACACTTTAAATATTTTATACATGATTTTACTTATACATAAGCATTATAGCAATTAACAAGCTGAATAGTTTTTTAAATATTTTACTTGGATATAGATTCCTTAAAACATCCCACTTTGTGGATCCCACTAAATGACTGAAGCTCATACACATCCAAATCTCATGGTTATTTGATAGATTGCTAGAAACAGAAATGTTACAAATTTATTTCTCCCTTTTTGTTTGTTTTGGCTACATCTCCTCGTCTTCAGTAGAGACCAATGGTCCCAATCTAGATATTAGAAAATGTCACACTCAGTTATATTGTGCTGCTCTGAATATAAAATAACAAGAGAATCCAATATGCACTGAGGGCATACACTGGGCCCCACATTGGGACAAGCCCTTAGTCCTCCTCAGAACGCTGTGGGATGGATACTCCTATCTCTGCTTCATAGATGAGGAGGCTGAGGGTTTCCAGGACTTGTTCAGTTTCACAGTGGTCCTGAAAGGGCTGTAGTGTGGGAGAAGAGAGGCAGTAACTGAGAGTATCACTCTGAGCATCGTCTCTTCTCTGTTAAAATGCTGGCTCATCCAGATAAGTTGATCAGTCCCACCCTAATGAGGCAGCTTGGGTTGTGTTTTCTTCTTTGGTTTGAGCAACTTGGAGAAATTATGAAAAGGGAAACAAATATTGCTGTCATCAGTTATAGGTCTGTTAATTTTGGTCTCCAATCAAGAAAAATGTTGGCTCATTTCACATTCCTCCTTATAGTACTGTATTCCCTCATCTTAAAAGTTTAAATCATATCTAGTTCATTTCTTTTCAGCAATTAATCTTTTAAACTTTGTTGCAAAATACTGTTTGAGAGTCTACCGTGGACAGTAAGGAATGACCAAAAATAAAAATCCGTCTCCGTGAGCCATGTGTCTCACATTTCCGTGCTATTCTAGAATTCCTATAGTTTCCTATTCACGTCATTAAATTAGGAACACCAAATTAGAAATCATCGCCAGTTTTTCCTCTCGGGGTATTGTGCCCATCTATTTTCCAAAATCCATTTTTATTCTTTAGAAGCCAAAACCATTTCAGAAAAACTTTCTCATCCTAGTCCCTGCGTTTCCAAAGACTAACTGGTGTTCATTGATATGTAAGTGCACATCTCATCTATTTTTTTTTAATTGCTCCTTGACTAGACAGATTTAACTTATATTGCTGGCCATTGGGCTAAACGTTTTGTAGGATTATTGGCTTGTTCTCTAACATGAGCCAAATGTTTATGATTGTAATCCCCGTCCTGCTCCAAACATGTGGCTTTGACATGCTCACAATCCTTGTAGTATTTTCCTTTTACTGCATAAACATCTCCTGGTCAGATGGAAAATAACCAGTTATTCCCAGTGGTTAATGGGATTCAGCTGAAGCATCGTCCTCAAGTGAAATTGGGGAGCAGGGTTTTTGTTCTAATTCTTCTCTAAAGATTTTTGAGAATCTCTGATGAGAAGCCGCAGGTATGGAGAAGCTTCCATGTAGAACCTGCTAGTGTGCTTGAAGGCTTTGCCCTCTTGTTCTTTAGCCATTCAGCCAGTGATACCAACTGCCCTCAGGGACAGAAAAAGGCACTATTTACAAAAGAGCTGCTGTCGTAATCCAGGGATTTATAGATCATTCACTTGACATTTCCCCAGCAGACCTATTCCTCTGTCCACGTAGGAGACAGTTCTCTTCTCCCCTCTGCTGCTGAGGGGCATTCATGCTTGCCTAAGAAGCAGGTTGGGGAGAAAGAAGCCTGCTCATCTTTATTGTGCATTCCACCTTTGACTCTGGGAGACTGGCAGAATTGACCACATTCTTGAACTATAATTCTAAATTTAAGGAGAAGAAATAACACTCATTTGGGGGGTGCTTTCTATTCTTTTATGTCGTTTTAGAGGAGAGGCTTATCTCATCTTTTTTCCCTGAGAACATTCAATTTCATTGTTCTCTTCCTAGTCAAACCAGAAATTTTCAGCAGAACATGTGATTGGCTCTTATTAATGATGATAATAGCAACATTCTCTCCTACAACTGCTTGCTTTTGTCAGTAGGCCTTACAGAAGACTGGAGAAACCTGAGAGTTGTGGCCCAATTACAGCTTATTTCCAAATTTATGGAGACTGACCTTGAGGTTTACATTAGATGACTTTCAGTCTGAGAGTCTGAACACTGACCATAGGCACTTACCAAGCTTTAAAGATGTGTTTACTTGAGCATTTCCAAACCCAGACTTCTATTATAAGCATGCCATCAATTCACAGGGCCTAGCAGTGACAAAGTACGTAAATACTGACTGTATTTTGAGCTCCAATTATTACATTGACTGGAACTTAAGCTTTAGATGGTGGGTTGCACTAGGTGCCCTTTAAGATTTGTTTCATTATTAAGAGTCTCATGCTTTGTGGTTATTGTATTACTGCCAAAAGGAAAATGTGGCCAACTTAATGTACTCTAAGGTCAGTGGAAGTAAAAACAAGATGGAGCTATTTTTGTTTCTATGAATCTATTTTCTGGATAATTACTTCATGGAATAAGTAGTATTTAACTGATGCTTTATATCTTAACAGCCTAAGCTGACTAGTCTAGTTTTACAGATAGCACTTTATAGTTTGTTTCCTTGATGTTAGGTTTTTTTCTATTCTAATGATAAATAACTTTACTTTGAATTTTCTTTCTTTTTTTTTAAGGTACTGTCCAAGAAGCTGGAACGCTGTTAGCCAGCAAGAATGTTCGTGTCAACTGTTTGGATGAGGTAAAATGAAAAAAGTTTAATAAAGTGTTTTACTTCCTATGAGAATGGATAATATATAAAATCTAATAAGAAGCGTTGTTTTCTAGCATTTGTTCTCAAGTTATACTAATCTCTAAATCAAATGTAAGCAGATGGGTTGCAAAAGACAAATAAACATGTAAAAACATGTTTAATCTTATTAGTAATCAAATAAATGACAATTAAAACTGAAAGTCCTATCATTTCTTGGAAGTGTAGGAAATGTTGGACTTTTATATGCTAATTGATTAGGTGTATATTGGCATCACATTCTGAAGAAAATTTTAGAATATGTGTCATTTTTAAATGTGCATACCTTCGATCCAGCAGTTCTACTTCTAGGGAAAGTTGACTCAACCTAAACTCAACTTTCTAGAACAATTGCTGTCCAAAATAACTTTCTAAGATGATGGCAGTGTCTATTCTGAGCTGTCCAATATGGCAGCCATTAGCTATATATGACTAGTGGCTACTTATTATACAAGCACAGTTCTAGTGCTAGAAAGTTAACTGAACTTCAATTTCTCATGCAGAAGGGGAAAAGATTTTGTTAACCCCTTACCCGACATGGATAGCAAAATTAATATCAGACAAAATAAAGATTAAAGCAAAAAAAAAAGAAATTAATAGATAAAGGCTATTTTTTATAGATTAAATTAATAATCCACCAAAAGCATACCAGGCTTTACTCTTCATTATAAGCCTATAAGCATGGAGGTTCATTAAAAAAGATAAAATTCAAAGGAGAAATTTATAAGACCATAATAGCACCCTTTAGAAACCAACAGGTTAAGTAGAAAAAAGTAATTCAGGGGACAAAAAATTCGGATAACCTAATTAACAGTCTCTGTGCACTGTATGTGGAACAGAAAAAAATAGTACATCTTTTTATATGGAACATTGATAAGAACGAGTCTCTGTATTATACTGTTTTATAGAGGAAATTTTAGCTAATTTCAGACAAGTTCACCAAATGCAGTATAATACATCGAAAATAAACAAAAATATGACAAATAATAAAATGTGTAAACTAAAATTTTTTTTTAATTCTACATGATTCTTGGGTAAAAGAAGAAATAGCAGTAGAAATTGCTTACTATTTAGAACTGAAAACATGGCATTTATCAAAAGCTGTGTTGTGTGGCCAAAGTGATAATTCAGAGGAAATTTTGTAGCATTTATTATGTACTTTCAATCTTTGTGGTGTTCTAAGCTTTCAACTCATGAAATTAGAAAAAAAGAGTAAGGTATACTTACAAAATAGAAGAAATAAATTAAGAAAAATAAAATAGAAATAAGAATTTTAAAAAGCCGTCAAGCACAAGCAACAAGAAAAAATAAAAGTTAAAAACTTGTGCTTCAAAGCACACCATCAAGAAAGTGAAAAGATAATCCACAGAATGATTTTACAGATCATATCTGATATGGCAGTTGTAACTAGAACTTGTAACTAGAGCTCCTACAATTCAGTAATAAAAAAGACAAATAACCCTATATTAAAAAATGGGCAAAGGATCCAAATAGACATTGTTCCAAAGAAGATATGCAAATGAGTGATACACACATGAAAAAATGCTCAACACTAGCTGCCAAGGAAATGCAAATCAAAACCACAGTCAGATACTTCACACCCACCAGGATGGCTATAGCAACAAAGATGGATAATAACAAGTATTGATGAGCATGTGGAGAAATTTGAACCCTCATAGATTGCTGATGGGAAGGTAAGGGTGCAGCTGCTCTGGAACACAGGTTGGCAGTTCCTCAAATGATTAAACATAGAGTTAGCATGTGACTGAGCAATCCTGGGCATATACCTGAGAAAAGTAAAACGTATGGCAACACAGAAGTTGCACATGAATGTTTATAGCCTCATTACTTATAATAGCCAAAGGTGGAAACATCCAAATGTCCAGCAACTAATGAGTGGATAAACAAAACATAATAAATCCACACAAAGGAATATTACTTCATATCCACCGAAAGGAAAGAAGTACTGATACATGCTACAACATGGATGGACCTTGAAAATGTTATGCCAAGTGAAAGAAGCTAGTCACAAAGGACTAAATATTGTGGGATTTCATTTATAGGAGATGTCCAAAATAGGTAAATCCGTAGAGACAGCAAATAGATTAGTGGTTGCCTGAATAGGGGCTGGGTAAGTGGGTGAAGGAGGAAAATGGGAATGACTATTAATTGGTATGGGGTTTCTTTTGGGGGGTGACAAAAATATTCTAAAATTGATTGCGATGGTGATTGCACAACTCTGCAAATATACTAAAAACTATTATACTGTACACTTTAAATGAATGAATTGTATGGTATGTGAATTATATTTGAATAAAGCTCTTAAAAAAGAAAAACCAAAGTTGCCAACTAAAGACCAAGAAAATAGATACAATTTGGAAAGTATGAGCAAGAAAGTAATACGTATAAACACCAAGAAAGTAAGAGAGTTAATTATAAAGGAAATTGTCATAGCTTTTTTGTTTAAGCCAATATATCTGAAAACCCATATGAAAGTAGTAACTTTGTAGAAAAATAAAAATGAACATATTCGTCTCATATAGAAGGAATAATTAAGGAAGAATTCTGTAAATGTATTTAAACACCAACTACTTTCTACAGCTGTAAACTTGCATAAGCTTTACAAAACCTTCAAAGACGAGTTAATTCTCATTTTACACAAATTGTACCAGTAGTTCACAAAAAGACAGAAATATACTCAGCTCATTTGATAAGCTTAGCATAACATTGATGCCAAAACAGTACGAAGCCCAAGAAAATTAGGGCTCAAGTCACTTTGTAAAAACAGATGCAAAAACACTATATAAAATATTGGCAAGTTGATTCAGTAGTGTGTCAAAAGGATAATAATACATCATAACCAAGTAAGGTTTCTCCAAGAATGAAAAGATGGCAGTTTTAGAAAATCTTTCAGTGTAATTCACTATTAGAGAATAAAAGAGAAACAAATATGATTGACTCAACAGATACTATAATGCATTTGATAAAATTTAACAACCACTGATGGTAAAAACTGTTAAGAGATGAGAATTTAATGGGTCTTCTATAACTTGATAGAAGAAAAGGTTTGTAGAAACCTTCCACAAACTTTGGCATCCTACTTAACATTAAATCATTAGACACACTCTCATATTTAACGTTAAAACCTTGGATGCACCAGAATGAAGACCAGAGACTCCTGGAGATTCTGTGAGTGAGCTGCAGGCAGATTTGGCCTTCTTGATGTTCCTTTAACATAGTACTCCTCTCCCCCAAGGAGTTTTGCACTTGGATTCCCTTTACCTGGAGCATTCTCCCTCTAGTTATTTACATCCTTTGCTCCCTCACTTCCTTCAGGGCTTTGTTTGAGTGCCACCTGCCCAGAGGGACATTCCTTGACTGTCCTTTTAAAAATGATAATCTGCTCTTTTCTTCTGGCATTCCCGCTCCTCCTTCTTCCATTTTGTTTCCCTATAGCAAGTATATCACCATCTGCCTTGTCACCCGTCTGAAAATTTAAGTGCCAGGCACTTAGACCATAGTGGCATGGAATTTGTTAATTGCTAGCTACAGTTTATAGATCTATGTCTGACATATATTAGCCACTCAGTAAATACTTGCTGAATGAATGAATGCTGTATTTAATGATATAGAATTGTAACTTAATAGACAAATATTGATTAATTCTTTGATGTAAGAATTATAGGAGAGAAACTTTAGTTATTTTTAGGGTCATTGTATCAAAAATATTGTAGCAGCTCGTTTTTCATGCAATTCAGTTAAGCAGACGTCTTCCAAGGTTGTCTTTGGGAAATGACAAGGAGGTGAGAATTTTTACTCTTACATTTCATGGAATTACGATGTCATAGACTTTAAGTCTCATCCAGATTTCAGAGACACTAAAAAATGAGGGAGATGGAGACTGATAGCAATTTATAAGATTCTAGTATTTGTAAAGTACAACTCAGTTTCAGAGATGTTAAAATATGAAAATGAAATACTTCTTAGAAGAGATGATTTCATGTAACACTGAGATAACATTTTATGAGACCTTATGACTGCCTTCCTAGTTTGAACAGAGGTAGACATTAGGTATTTTATTTTTCTATCTGATACTTAGTTATTCCATATTTATAACTAGAATATGACTTTTTTTATTGAGGTAACATTGGTTTATAACATTATATAAATTTCAGGTGTACATCATTATATTTCGACTTCTGTATAGACTACATCACATTCACCACCAAAAGTCTAGTTGCCATTCGTCACTGTACACATATGCCCCTTAACCCCTTTCGCCCTCCCCGCTTCCCACTACCCCTCTGGTAACCACCAATCTCTTCTCTGGGTCTGTGTGTCTGTTTGTTTGTAGAACATGACATTTTAAATTTAACTATTTTAAACATGGCAATATTCTACTTCTACTAGATTAGCAGTATTGTTTTGAATTATTCAACTCCTTGTTTTGAATTATTCAACTCCTTGTTTTGATATTTACACTGAAATACTTTCAAAATATTAGAAAGACTAGAAAATTTATAGTATGGTGGCTTTATATCTGTATGGAATATCAAAATTTATTAATACATCTTTTTTTCTTTGTCCATTTAAATGTTTCCGCAAATAACAGGTAGTACTAGAACTAAGATGATAATGCGTTGTACTCATTGCACTCAGAACTTGTAATTTTCTTTGCATTGTTCTAAATTCTTATAGCCCAAAGTTGAACTAAGAGATAGGAAAATAATTGGGATACCCACTTACTTGAAAAGCTTAGTGTAAATTTGTCACATCACAAGTTTGGCTGCTAATACCCAGGACCATCCAGCCCAGCACTGAAATTTGATGCGGGAAATATATACACTGTATTATAAATGTGACAAAAGCAACAGGTTTAGAGATTGCACAGCAAACGATATGATTGGAGTAACTTATTACCTGTTTGGAAAGAAGCTCTTTCGTTGGTTGGCTCTAAAAACCAATATGTACTAAGAAGACAGCTAGTCAACAAGAAAGAGCAAAAGAGAAAAAAGAAAAGCAAGAGAAAAATTTTAAAAATGAGAGGAAAGGGAGGCAACAGGTAAATGGGCAGAAGTGATGAATACAGATGACAGTTAAAACACAAGCCGACATAAGAAACTGAGGACAGTTTGCAATATCAGACCCGAAAGCTTTGCACATTTGCTTTGCTTTAAGCATATTGTCACATTGTGATGAAAGCTGCTTTTTTAATTTTTTAAACTATGGGACAGTTCTGCAGTCTCAGGAGTATTCATTCTCAGAGCTAGAGAACTTGTAGTTGTAGGATGGGATTGCTGGGTGATTGACTGCCCACCTGTACTGTGTCCTTCCTTCCCCCCCAGGCTATACACTAGCTTCTTACATACAGGTTATATCATCCGTTAGGGGTTCTCACCCTTGTCAAGCTCAGAATACATTTTTGCCTCCTTCAAAAGGTAATAACCATATAGTCTATTCCCATTCCCTTAAAGTACTCCATTGGCCTCTGTACAATGAGATTTTGATTACTCACACCCACCCAGCCACCCCTAATATTTAAATACTCCATCCTTGTAGATACACCTAATTAAGGGAGTCCTAAAGTTATAATCTCCTTATCATTTTCCCGTTACTACTCTCAAGAAACTTTCACTACTTTTTTTTATTTTTTATTTTTTTTTGAGAAAGATTAGCCCTGAGCTAACATCTGCTACCAATCTTCCTTTTTGCTGAGGGAGACTGGCCCTGAGCTAACATCCATGCCTATCTTCCTCCACTTTATATATGGGATGCCTACCACAGCATGGCTTGCCAAGTGGTGCCATGTGTGCAACCGGGATCTGAATCAGCGAATCCTGGGCCGCCGAAGGAAAACGTGCGAACTTAACCCCTGTGCCACCAGGCCGGCCCCAAACTTTGACTATTTTTAATGAATTACCACTTGTGTGACCACCTGAAAGGTCCCAGCCTCCCTACAATTCTCCTATCAACAACCCTATGAGAATATTGATAGCTTATGTTGATAATAATAATCTAGAACCGTCGAGAACAATTCAAATTATGTTAGCATTGTAAGATTTACTAATGTAAGAGATTATATGTATTAGAGGGTTTTTTATTCCAAAACAACTTTGAAATTCTAGCACTTATAGACATTATGCTGGGTTACTGAGAAAATTTACTTACAGGGAACAGCTCATTCATTTAGCTAGCAAATAGTATTAGATACTCAACATATAAGATTAGATCTTACATTGGATATGCCCAGCACATATGGGAGACTAAGCAATGTAGCCTGGTCTAAATACTACTAACCATTTCTGCATATTTACACAATCATATATATGAATGAAACAGATATATGATCAAAATATAAATGTGATTTTGGGGATCATTGTTTTTAAAATGATATGAATGTAATATATGTCTCCCACATCTTGTTTTTCTCATTGACAGTAATTCATGGAAAATTCTCCAATTCAATAGATACAGATGAATTCAGTCAATAGCTTCATAATATTCCATGTTATGGATATACCATTCTTTATTCAACTTTCCCCTTGTACACATTCTGTTTTGAGATTTTGTCTTAGTTTCCTTTTTTTAATGTGTTTGTATCTTCTTGTTCATTTGTTCCTCCAGAAGCTAAGTACGTGAAGTAGAGGTGAGAGCACAGGTAAATTTGGGTTCTGGTCCCTGCCCCAGCCATTTTACTAGTCACATGAGGTTGAGCAAGTCTTCTCTGAGTCTGTTTGCTAATCTGTAGAACAACCTCAAATAACAAAACCATCTTTTTTCCTCAGCAGTTTATGGAGGATCCAAGTGGGGAAGTGAATATAAAAATACTCTGCAGATTATAAAGATGATTTTATTAATTCATGTTTTTGTTTTAATTTAATTGCAGGAATTGTTCATAGGCAGGGGAAATATAAATAAGTAAAATTAATACTTTTTTTCTTTCTATTAAAGAATGGAATGACTCCGCTAATGCATGCCGCATATAAAGGAAAACTTGATATGTGCAAATTACTTTTACGACACGGAGCTGACGTAAATTGTCATCAGCATGAACATGGATACACAGCCCTCATGTTTGCTGCACTTTCTGGTGAAGTGTTATCATTTATTCTAATATATTAGTCACCTATACAAATTTGTTATAAGTGCATATATATTTTTAAATTAAATGCACCTTTATTATAGTAATTTTAAGATTAAATCTTCTGGAAAGGAATGGTGGGAATTGGCTTTGAAAAGCTGTAATGTATGAAATATGTGACATAGTTAATTTGGTGATGTTTCTTAAGTTATTGAAATCAGTTGACTATTTGTGTTGACAGCATATTTTGTGTAAAGTTGTGGAGCTAGATCTGTTATTCTTTCAACTTAGTTCCTTTGATGTTCTGTACTTTATGTTATGAAATAACATGAAAACTTCTTGGTTGTTCTCTTGAGAAAATAACTGCTGTGATAGAGCTGTCCATTTGCTTCACTGACATTTATATACTGAATATGATGATTCATTTAGAAACTTACTCTGATTCATATTGCTTATGATTTGGAATAAAGACAGTTGGGAAATGTTATCTAAAATTAAGTGGATTTATCTGTAATTGTTATAATTTTTAAGAAAATAAAGATGTATAATATTATCATACTTTAAAAGTAGTAATCTGTATATATAAAAAAGTAGTAATCTGTTATAATCCTGGAACAGGAAAGCATTTCTAAGCATGACATAAAATGTAGAATTCAAAAAGGACAACATTGCCTGATTTGATTACATAAAATTTTAACATTTCCATATGTAGAATATACCATACATAGACTTAAAATATAAATAAAAGATTAAGGAAAATATTCATTACATATCCTAAAGGGTCATATCATTATATATGAGGAGTTCTTATTATCAATTAGAAAACAGCAAATACTACAGTAGAAAATTGGACAGAAGATTGAACAGAGAACAAAAGAAATACAGCTGGCTAACAAACATGGGAACACTTTCACCAATAATCAGAGAAATGCAAATTGGAACAATAAATGATCATTTGTCACTTATGTTGTCAGAGGTTAAGAAGGAGTGATAATGCCCAGCATTGGCATAGGGACTTCTTTGCTCTGTTTTGGGTAGTGTACATCAACCCAGCCTTGTGGAAGGCAGCCTGGCAAAATGCATGTAACATATGCGTAGTCTTTGATCCTGCAGTGTTTTCCAGGAACTATTCCTAGGGAAATCATAGTTCAAACTTGCAAAAATTAATGGAAAGTGCTGTTCACTGAGTGTAGTTTATAATAGAGAAATACCTGTAATGATTTCATTAGTGAAAGAATGCAAATAGAGTAACTATGGATGTTTAGATGGAAAAAAGTGTAGAAAGATAGACCTCTAACTGTTAATAGATATTCTGGGTCCTGGAGGTGTGAGGGATGGGATGGGTTAGTAGATATTAAGGGAGGACTTCTATTCATTTTGTTTCTTCTGTCTTTGTTTTTGATATTTTTTGTTTTGAGTTTATGTTAAGCATTATTATTAGGAAAAACACATTTGTTTTGTTAAAAAAAAAGTGATACTCAATTCCATACCATTTTTGTATTTCTTGATGTGTTTTCTAGAAAGTAAGGTTAATTTCTATGTGGGTCCTATAGCATTTTACTCTTTACTGTAGTTGTGATTTATATTTTGGAGAAAAAATGAAAATATTAACAAGAGGGAAACCTAAAACAAAGTGGAAAAAAAGAGTACAGATTATTTAGAACCGGCTATTTGAATTGTGCATGCATTAATACTAATAAACATGTTCCCTTTTGCCTCTAGGTAATAAAGACATCACGTGGGTAATGTTGGAAGCTGGTGCCGAGACAGATGTTGTCAACTCCGTAGGAAGGACAGCAGCTCAGATGGCAGCCTTTGTGGGTAAGTTTTTATGGCAGTTTTACGTTAGGTTATACCCAAAATTTCCCCTGTGGAAAAAATGTCACTTTGCTTCTCAGAGTACAAATACTGTCATATTTATTTTTAAAAAAGCAGAATGTTTGTGGTTTTGTCTAACTTAGTGAAACACCTCACAACAGTTTGGAGAAAATGAACAAGCTATTTTAAATTTCCACTCTGTAACTTGCAAAGAGTGGTGGGGCCATTTTAGTTGCAGTCAAATGCTTGAGTGAGTATATTTTATTTCTCTAAGGGAAGTATTTTAGTCTAATGTTTAAGAACGTGAACTGCGGATTTAGCAGTCCTGGGTTGAAATTCTGACTGTGCTGCTTAATCGCAAGTTACTTAATGATTCTGACCTTCAGTTTCCTCATTGTAAAATGGTTACATGGTTATTGAAAGGATTAAATGAGATGATAGACTTCAAGAGCTTTACATGTAGAACTAAATAAATGCAATCATTTACTGCTATTAATAATAATTACAACAATGATGTAGTTCTTCCTTAGGAAGAACCATTAATAATCATATAATACACTGCTGCTTCATTATTATCGTCATCAACCACAAACGTTTTATTGTGTGTGCCCGGTGATTCTTGGTATGTTAATCCTGTTACTTAGGGGGTTTAGAAGAGTGTGGGAGTGAATATTTGATCATTGCTATTTTGGCCCCATTGATTTGGCGGTTAGGAGAGTCCATTAATCGAAAAGCAAAGATAGAAACATCTGATTTATTGGGAGTGCAGTAAATGGCCTTGTGGGAACTAATAATTAATTAAACAGATACTTACTTTCACAATCTATATCCTAAGCGTCACTCTAGGTACCTTGGTTACAGTGGTGAACAAGACAGAGGCTGTTCATGCATTCATGGCACCAAGAGGCTAACAGCAATGACAGACAATGTGAAAATATCCTCCAGTGGATGACTTAAGTGCTCCATAGACATACATCGGAGAGGGATCTTCTATCCCATTCCAAGGGAGTTTTGGGAGAAATACACTTATGCTGAGATATGTGGGAATTAGTCAGTTATGGGGAACAGTAACTATATATTGTGTTAAATTTTATTGTTAAATTATCTTAAAACTTCTAATAACAGCTGCTGTTGATTAAGTTAGATAGTCCCTGAGTCGCTTTATGGCAGCTTTTAGAGAGCAAATATTCTTATTTTATTTTAATTCAATTTCAGGAGGATTTGAAAAAGGTATGGCCTTGCTATGCAAACTTAAGGGAAATATTTATCTCCCACAGTTAGGGGCTCTCTGGTTGCCCCCCAACTCACCTCTAAGCTTATTTTGAAGGTGTCAGTGCAGTGACAAAAGAACACTAAACTGGGAATCTTGAGACTCATCTTTTAATTCATGTCTGCTCCTAATTAGTTACAAGATCATAAGGAAATTCTTTCACCACCATGGTTTTCTGCTTTGTAAGCAGCAGCCAGGGAATTAGATGGTCTCTCTAACTCTACAAGTTTTCTTATGTCCACGATGTAACAAAGTAGAGCTCAGCTAGAGGTTAAGTAACTTTCTCCAGGTCACAGGGCTGAAAGTGGAAGAGTCGGTTCTTTCAGCCGTTAGTACAATGCTCTTTTCTTTTCCTTTTTCTTGATACTACTATATTAATAAAAATCCAAGGTAGAAGTTGTCCACAATCACATCCTAAGATAAGGGTAATGTTTTCATTCTATTTTAATCTTTTTAGACTAATTTCATAGACAGAAAATTGCATTGCACCTTTTCAGTTGACATTATATTTTCTACAGTTAGTCTTTTAACAAACTCATCCTCCTCATTTTGTTCCCCTTAAGCCAATCAGTATATATACATGTGTGCACACACGTGCAAGATTTTTGTCATCTGTTTGAAATGTGGTCATAAAAATGTATTCCTTGTAACTCGTTTTCTTCATTTACCAGTACAACATGGAAGTCCCTCCATCTCAGTTGGTATAAATAAATTCAGTTATTTCAACAACTGCATAATATTCCATGATACAGGTGTACCACATTTCATTTAGCTCTCCCTATTGATAGATTTTACAGTTTTTAAGTCACTTCGCTGCGAATAATGTAATAATGATCCTTGATCTTCCATTTTTACATGGTAGTGCTTTAAAATCTGTAAGATATATTCCTGGAAGTAAAATGGCTGAGACAAAGCTATGTATTTTTAATTTTAACGTAAGTCTAGATTACTTTCCAAAAGGGCACAGCAATTCACGCTCCCGTTAACATCTTCTCAGAACTAAGTGTTCGCACTCTGTCATTTTGACAGTCTGATAGTTAAAAAGATGGTCTATTGGGAATTTACTTCCCCCTCATTATTAATGAAATTAAGCTTTTAGTTTTGGTCATTTGTATTTTCTCTTCTGTGGATGCCTGCTTATATTTTTTACTCATTTTTCCTTTAGGTTGTCTTTTTCTTATTGCTTTGAGTTATTTTATGTGTATTATGGATGCCAACCCTTTGTCTGTCAAATGTCTTTCAAATATTTTATGCTGTCTTGTTTTTCTTTTGACTTTATGGGAAGTTTTGCCATAGATATTTATTTTTGAGTAGGAATATTTTTTCTTTTATAGCTTCTATGTTTCTGATCTTGCTAAAAGAGGTCTTCTTACCATAGGATAAATAAGTATTCTCCTAAATGACCAGTTTGTTTTTTTGTTGGTTTTTTTTTGTACTTCTAATATTTATTTTTGTAGACTTCATTTTCTCCTGGATATATATAGTTAATTGTGATAACACCATTTATTAAACCTCTCACCATTTTCCCACTGAATTGAGATACCACTTTTGTGGTAAGTTAAATTCCCTTATGTGCTAGTATCTATTTCTGGAGCCAGTCTTCTCTTCCACAGATCTGTCTGTCACTTTCTATATTAACGCCATATTGTTTTGATCACATTGACTTTAGAGTTAAGCAAGTGTCCTCTCACTTATTCCTCTTTGAATACAGTCCACTCCCACAAATCCTTTTCAGTTCTTGTTGAACTTTTATTAAATGCTTATATAATTATTTGCAGAGCATTGACATCTGTATGATGTTAAGACTTCCCATCCTATCACATGTTGTTTTTTTAACTTGTTTTTTGGTCCCTCAGTAATACTTCCTAGATTCCTTCATATCAGTCCTTTTTTAAAAAAAAATGTTTAAATAAAACTACCTTTCTTTTAAAATTTATTTCTAAGTAATTTGTAGTTATTGCCCACATTATAAGGAGAATTCTCTCCACCACCTCTCCACTTTGTCCTTTCTAGTTGATAATGAGTGATAAAGAAAAAGCTATTGATTTCTGCTTTTTCCTTGTCATTTTTATTAGAGTCTCCTGGGTTTTATACCTATTCAATTTCATTTTATTATCTTTTTGAATTAGCTTTAGGCTTCAAAGTAAGAAGAAATAATAATAAGAGATAATTGGCATGTCTGTCCTTTTCTTATTTTTTAATAGAAATATTTGTAGCTTTTCACTTTTTATTGTGATATTGGTATTGGTTTTATCATTGCATCATGTCACTCTTTGTCCTGTTTAATTTTTTAGTTCTACTTTTTCTGATGTTATAGCCATTCCTGATTCCTTTCTTGTTCTTGTTTTTTGTAGTTGTCAATAATCTCTTTGCCCATCCCTTTATTTTCAATCTTTATCATTTAATTTTAATAGTGTAACTACTACTAGACCTACGTGTTTACAAACATATAGGTGTGTTGTTTTATAACCCAAAATGATAATCTTTCTCTTTTATCAGATATACAGCGTATGCACATTTAATATAATTACTGATAAACTTGATTGCATTCCTCCTCTTTTACCTCATTTTTTACTCTTTATTTTACTTGGTGGTTGTTTTTGCTTGTGTGTGTTTTCTTAATGTAATTGTCTTGGTCATGTTAGCATACATTTTCTTTCTCCTTTTATTAACGTGAAAGATCAAGAATGCCTTTCCATTCTACTAGTGGTTACTTTCCTGTCCATAACACTCCCAATTAAAGCCATATTTCTCAGTTATTGTCTAAAAACAAGAACAAAACTATATCCTATGCCCCATCCCCAATGCACTGGATTTGTCCATTTAGCAACTATAACAAGATGAAATCCCTATAGCTTATTTCTCTACATTCTTTGTTGTTGCCTTGTCAGGCAAGAGGCCTTTCCTTTTGTCCTCCCCCACCACCATTAGCTGCAGACATTGCTGAGAGAGGTTAGTATTTTTAGTACCAACATGTGGTTAGAGTGTCATTCGCAGCGTGTTACTTCTCTTTCAGTAATTCTGATGGTTAACAGTATAATTTCTCGGTCGTGGTATCTCCACCCATTCAGATTAACTATCCCTGCGGCCGAGGGCTGTTTGTTCCCCTCTCTCTCCCTTCCTTTCTCCTCGCTCCCTCTTGGGACCTCTATTTTCATTTAGGTTTGGATTACAGGACCTTCTGAGATGGTATGTAGGTTGTATATTTTTTTGAAACCCATCATAACCAAATCTATCTTTCTTTCTGAAATAGGAGTCTTATCTTGGCTGGTTTCAAGATTCTTGTATCCCTATTCTTTTCTCTCAGTCATATCTGAAACTAAATCCCAGTTTTCTAAATCCTGGTTTTGCAAATGAGAATTTGATTTATCTTGCTTTGTAAGCTTTTCATTTCTCATTCTGGAAGCGCATTTCAATTTCAGTTCATCCTTGAAAGTAAAAATGTTTACTGAGATATGTCTAGTTGTATGTGTGTTCTTGTTAATCCTGCCTAGGACTAACTCAGCCCATTCAATCTAGAAGACTCAAGTCTAGTGACCGTAATACTGGAGCAGAAGGATGCACTGGTTCCCCTGCACCGCACAGCATTTATTTTCCATATTAATAGTACCATTTTATTTCTTTGTATTCAGAAGTCATAAGTTAAAAACCAGTAAAACTAAATATTTAATAGTTTCAATTGTAAAAATTTAAATAGAAATTAAATAGAAATTTATATTTATAAAGATAAATTTTAAATATATCACTCTAACATAAATTATTAGCAGATTAGTTAAAATAAACTATCAAAATAATCTAAGCACTACTTAAAATGAAAAAGATTAATCTTGAAAAAGAGTAAAGTAGGGACTGACCTAGTGATATAGCAGTTAAGTTTGCACATTCCACTTCAGTGGCCCAGGGTTTGCCAGTTCGGATCCCGGGTGTGGACCTACGCACCGCTTGGCAAGCCATGCTGTGGCAGGCGTCCCACATATAAAGTAGAGGAACATGGGCATGCATGTTAGCTCAGGGCCAATCTTCCTCAGAAAAAAGAGGAGGATTGGTGGCAGATATTAGCTCAGGGCTAATCTTCCTCAAAAAAAAAACAGGTAAAGTAACATTATTTTTTCCTTCTCACAAAGGTGTTATCTGAAACCTCTAGTCCTGTGATAGTGTCATTGTTACATAGCAGATATTTTTATGTACAAGTATTTCCAACTGCCAACGGGGCTTTTTCTGACTATAATAGTTGGGGGACTCATGGGACAACATGGTTAGAAGCCAGCTCCGTATTTTCCTCTGACCCCTTTATCTTCAGATCTTCCTATGTTTATTTTGACATTTTTAGGAGCTATTTTAGAACCCTTTTTTTTTTCATTGGGAACACCTATCTTTTTATTGAGGCTGAATGTAGATTGTGTTTTAAGGAAGCAGTGCAGTTTGTCTTCATCTTCCCTAGTTTCTTCACATACAGCAGTAAATTCCCACACGCACTTATCTGTGTTCATTTTGATGCTGTCATGTTCATATCCCATTTGTAGTAGATCTGCTTGATTGACTGTCGTTTTCTCCCTTTTTGAAGATTACAGAGGTAGAGATGATCATTTTCTAAACAGAACATCTCAGATTTTTAATATATCCTGTTATTGTTTGACTTCTCAAGATATATTTAATGGAGTTTTCTGATTTTTTAAAAAAAGAGAAACTGATGTTTCAGTCTTTGAGAATAGCATTGAATACCAAAAATGATACTGTGATCACTACTAAAATTTCCCTTCACATCAGCATGTGTTCTTCTACCATTTGTTTAATTATTAATTCTCCATCCATTCTTTTTTATTTCTGGGATTTCTCTTATTTTTCACTGTTACATTTCCTGGATCTGTCTTTCAACTCTCTCATCTCTTCCACAATGATTTCTATCTCCTAATTTTTCTATTTTGAGATATTTTATCTGCTTCATCGTCTGCATTACTATTTTAGTTCTCAATAGTAGCCAAGATTACCACTATCAGTTTGTCTGTTAACTTTTAAAATTTGAGTCTTTCTGTGGTCCGTGACAGTCTTTTTACATACTGTAATTGATCTGCTTAATTTAAGCGTTCTTGTCTGGTGATGGTGGTTATGGTTTGGTTGTGGTTGATGTTGTCAGTACACTTCCCACCAAAGACGCCATCTGTTGGAGGCATTGCATAGTCTTCTGAGACACTGGATCCCCTTGGGTACTTTGCTTTGTATCTCCTAGGCAGTCAGGTAAATGACAAGTTCATGGGGCAGTGGAGGGAAGTGCCACCATCTCTATACTGGTGGGCCCAGGGTTAATAAACCAATGGATATTTTGTCCTCTGTTGAGAAACAAGTGGGAAGCCACTCCACTCTTAGATTCTCCAGAAACTCCCAGGCAAGCAGAGCCCTCTGCCAGCCTCAAGTACCAGTATCCACCTGGCCCACAGTACAGTCCTGCTGCAGGTCACCTGTTGTTGGCAAGATCAAGCAGATGCCCCCAGGACTGTGCATAAGTGGGCAGGGGCCACATGGGCTGCCCACGGTGGACCCGCTCTCCAGGAACCTTAGTGTCTGGGCCTGCTCACCAGGACTCTCCATTGCTGGTCTCTCGGCCCTCGTCAGGCAGAGAGGAGGAAGAAGTTTCTCTTCTGGAGATCCTGGAAGAACCTGAGCCCACAAATGTCCCCTGTAGGTTCTGCCTGCTTGCCTAGAGTGGCCACTCTCTTGTTCCAGAGAGGGAGTGGACAGGGAGTTGGGGAGGGAGAGGCAACAGGAATACGCATTCAGGCCACCGTCTTGACCAGGGAAGGTTTTGCTCACATAGAACCATTTTTACCTCTAGAGATGGCTTAGGGAAGTGGCTCAGGGATCTATGAGAAGTCGTAATATGGATTCCAAGCTTATGGGAGCAAAAGCTTTCTCTCCAATTCATTTCTCAGAGAGGCAAACTTTTCTCAAATTCAAGGGGAGGCGAGATTAGTTTAATAATATGAATAATAATTATAATAAAAAATTGTATATCGAATACATTTAAATTCTGTGTAAAGAAAGCCAGATGTGATTAGGGAAGAATGGCCATCACCTATGTAGGGGTGGATGAAGAGACATTTAAATAATAAGCAACTTTTATAAAATATTTAGGGTCAATCATAAACTGAATACAGCTTTTTTTGTAATCCATGTAATCTTCATATGTATTGTGGATTCTGTGTCTTTAAAAGATTATTTCTTGACTTCACAAAACATGCTTATAAATGTTCCCCAAAACATTTTACCTCTCCTCCTCCTCCTCTACTCTCCTTTCCTGAAAATTAGAGATGTTGATACATATTTACTTTACAAGAAACCGAGCAACATAGTTAATGAAACATTGGAAAATGTCTTATTTTGAATAATACTACAACAAATTTCCTATTTTTCTATTAAAAGGTCAACATGATTGTGTGACTATCATCAACAATTTCTTTCCTCGAGAGAGACTGGATTATTACACTAAACCCCAGGGATTGGATAAAGAGCCGAAACTGCCCCCAAAGTTGGCGGGCCCACTGCACAAAATTATCACCACAACAAATCTTCATCCTGTCAAGGTGGTGTAGAGTTTATTGTATTTGCTTTTTATTCAAATGTTGCTTCGGAGTTTAAACTGCTTTTATTGTATGGGGTCATGATTCTCTTGGGTTGAGTCTTGTAGATGTCAAGCTTGCGATGGGCTTTCTTGTTCAGTTGAGGCAGTGAAGGAGTGCTCTCAGTTGAAACCTGGAAGAGAGTGAGGGACCCACACTAGAGCAGGAGGAAAAAGCAGGACGAAGAGGTGGGTGCAGCTGAAGCCCAGCTTGCGCCTCATCTCCCGGGGAGCTCTAGACCATTAATGGCTCAGGGAGACAAGGAAGCCAGGCTTTTATATGCATCAGTCTGTTGTTGGCTGAGGCCTGTCCCCAGAGGGACAGCCTCCCAGATAGTGCCAAGTGAGGTGACTCCCTTTGGTTGAAGGCCGTTCCCTAAAGAAGGAGGCAGCTCTGAGCCCATAGCAGCCAGCACTCCCATAGCTGGGACCTGGTGCACAGGCCTGCTGAAGAGGGTCTGGGTGGGACACCAACAGCATCTACTCCAATAATTATCCTTCCAGGAAATGTTCTCAAGTGTAATCATGAACACATTGGTTAATGCAAGTAGCCATTTGATGCCTTTAAGTAATATATTCTTCCAGTACTTAGTCAGATCACGCAGATTTTTAAACTTTCTAGATCAACCCACAAGTTCAAATGGCTTAACTGAGAAGCTTCAAGAGCCATTTTGAACTATTTGCACTGCTATTTTCTTCATATTTTGTATACAGCCTTTTTGTTTGTTCATAAAATGATTGTTGCTGGGTTTTTTTTTTTAATCAATCCAAATGAGTATAATTTCTTCAATGGGTCATTACAGAAAACTCCATGTTTGCTACAGTGATGCTGTTGTTTTTCAAATTTCAATATCTTTCGTATGTCTTCATTCATAATGTATAGATTTAATAGTAATTCAGACCTATTTGGTGGGCAAGACGGTAAGTTGGGTCAAAAATTGAGGTTTTCCCTTAATATGAGGTATTGTTATAATGTAGTGAAATAGATTTCCTTAGAAATCTATTACAAAAGAAGAATCTATGGCATTATACTGAACATCATTAAAATAAGTGGACAGTTCTTAGAAAGTAACTCTTTTGAAGACTAACGCTCATTTGAAGGTAGAGGTTGCAAATTGTACATAATATTATTACTTTACTGATGCATCCCTTTGCATACAGTCTTTGAAGCTCAAGAAACAAACCAACCAACAAAAAAATACCTGTCATGTGGCCCTTCTCCCAAATTAATTTCCTGAGCCCTCAGGAGAGATGGCAAACTAGCAGATCCTTTCCCATAAGACAGACAAGTGGAGTCTATTCTGCTTTTATTTTTCAAAACTCAAAATGTTTTACTTAACCTAAAAGAACTGCCAGAGGCAACACTTGTGATGCTAAGTGGGCAAAGAAGAGATTCAACCATGAATCACATGTTTGTATTTCTAGAAGAGATTATATGGGACTTAGAATTTAATCTTTAAAAAATATTTAGCCTCTGCTGTGTTTGTGGTTCTTTCTCTTCCAGCACATGCAGGAAAGAGAACTTTCATAAATAATAGCTACTCCCTTTCCAGGGCACTCTTTCTCTTGGGGCGGGGCAGGCTGGGTTGGGAGGACAGGATTTTTCCTAGGGATACGGTACTTCTCAGTGTAGAGAAGGTACGCGATTTGACAAGGCCCTGTTGTTCCCCCTTCAGCCTGAGCATTACCGGATATTCTGGTTTAGATTGACTTGAAGAAGTTCTGTGTGTTTTTCTGTTTCACTGTCTTTTATATCTATATTCCCACCCCTTGAGATTACAGTAATCTCAATTATTGCAATATTGAGCCAGCAGAGTAATTTTTGATGTTTACATAGAACCTAGTCTCTCAGAGTTAAATATCCTAAGAATTATTGTACCTCTAATTACCTTTAAAAGCATATGTTTTGAGTAAATGAGATTAAGGGCATATGTATACAGGCGATAAATTGTAAAGGTGTATAGACTGAGATAGTCTACATTCTATCTTTAGAGCACTTGGTCTTATAAGAGAGACTGTTCTCTGGCTATAGTACTTTCCCTCACACCAGACCTTGCTTTTTATAGGTATAAATGAACTGTTCACTTGAAAGCCTTTCTTTTATCCACAGCTCTGGTAAAAGCTGCCCAGTTTCTTTGGTGGTGGCCCATTTTCATTGCTTCACCCTTTTTCAAGCTGGTGTGGGTCTTCATAGGGCGTATTGTAAAAAAGTAACTAATAGCCACTCTATAAAGTCAAAGACCTCTTAAAATCAGCACAGAAATCCTCCTCAATACACAATTCAGCTGTTTGCTACACTGCACCTAACACAGCTCTATTTGCATCGAGGTTAAGTGGCTGCTATAGCAATAAAGATGTTTGTTTTCATCAGGGACTTGGGGAATTGTGTTGATGCCCAGAATACAGAGGTTATAAAGGAGAAAAGCAGACTCGCAGGAAAATCACAACAGAGTTGAGTATGGTCTCTAAGTGGTCAAGAGGCAGATGTACACACGTGATCCTGTCTTTGATTATTAACATGATTTTTAAGCCCAGAATTGTTGATTTAGTAATTTTTAAAAAATGGGATCTAAAAAATGAAAATAATTCAAAATGCCACTATATAAACATATTCTAAGGTAGTCTGTTTTTGTGAGAGGAGATCTATATGGCTTTTATGCCTAGAGGACTCTATTTATTCCTGCTCAATAATTACTAATAAGGATTTCCTTTATAGTGTCTTACTTTATAAGGCTGCAGAGATTAGAGGAAGGAAATTAGTTCAAATATTATTCTTTTGTGTCCAGCTATGTAAATGTTTCAGTAAGCTCATGGTAGACCTGTGGTTACGTGTCATTTTTCTTTGTCTATGTTGCTGTATATTATAAAATAAAGTTTAATGTCTTAAATAAAGAAATCATTAATCTAGGTTCTATTTGAAATTTTTTTTAAGAATTCTCACTTGTAAGTTTAAGATCTTATGCTTTGATTATAAATGCTGTATATAAAAATATTGAACAAACAACTTCAAATGATTGCAGTTGACAGCAGAAATATAAACAGGTAATTAATGAGTCTTTTCTTCTCTGCCATAAGTCAATTTTTGATATGTGTTATGGTAGGGTGGGAGTTGTCAGCAAGTTTACCAATAAGGATTTTGATTATACTTACTTCATCAAGTCTAATAATGTATTACTAAGTGCTATATTTTAAGTGAAATACTAGATTATAGCAATATAGTAGCATCAAAAATAAGTAAAAGTCATATTTTATTTCACAAGAACACTTAATCTATGTTAAATTTCCAAGGAGGAAGCTAGGCATGGGTTTTACTTAAGTTAAATTATCTTTCTTCATGTCTAAAGAAAAGGATCTAATTTGTGAAACCTGCTGCCTGTTGTCCCCTTAATGACCTGGGATGGATAGTTAGCTGTAACACGTAGGTTAGCAAATACTGACTTTCTGCTCTGTCCGTACAACTGTGCCCACATTACACATATATTTACTGTTATGTCACCATGGATTTTTACAGCTGTCCAGTGCTGACATACTGCAGGTAATCTACCCTATAACAAAGCCAATAAAGAAAATACTTCTCATTACACTAAATTTGAACTTAATCTGTGCATATATGGGAAGTGTGGCTCTCATGATGCATAAGAGTTGATAACTCTCTGATATTGCTCCTTTTAAGCTATTTTTGCTTTCCTCTTCGACCTGTTCTCATTACTGTAGATGATTAGAAGCATATTGGGGAAATTTCCACAGAGAAATGTCGTTAATCGGAAAGCAATACTCCTTTTATTTTTAGACTTCTTTCTGTAAAAATCTCATTTCCTCATCATTAATAAGAATTAATGAGAATTGTAGTTCTCCTAGCCATGAAATTGTAAAGCTCAGTAATGTTAACTAAAAGTAGTGATTGCTTGGTAATTTGATGCTGTATATAAAGGATGTGCAAATATGCTGTGTATCTTTTAGTAAGAGTGCTTTTAACAGAGGCGGTAAAACCGTGACTCTGAGTGGCCAGTAACACCCTGGTTTGGCTAGATGGTAGAGCACGTGATAACTTTGATATACAGAGTTCAAGAGATTCCTTCTGTGTTAGTTTTATAACTTTGATCAGTGTCAGATTGCACTTAACATAGTAAATATAGAACTGTAAGGAAGACTTTAGCTGGTAATCTTTTAAAATCAATCAAAACTGACTGCCTGATTTGTACATAGAAAGGTCTCTCATGGAATTTCTAAGCTCAGTGGAATTTCTTTTAGATTGTGATGCTTATAAATGAGAATCCTCTGCTGGCAGAAGAAGCAGCTCTGAATAAATGCTACAAGGTGATGGATTTGATTTGTGAGAAATGTATGAAGCAAAGAGACATGAATGAAGTCTTGGCTATGAAAATGCATTACATCAGCTGTATCTTTCAGAAATGCATTAACTTCTTAAAAGATGGAGAGAATAAACTGGATACTCTGATCAAAAGGTACTGTTTTTACTGTCATGTATAAAATACACTCAAATGGATAATATTGTATTATATGAAGCCTCATTATAGATTTAAAAATTAAGCGTTTTGCAGCAGTTCTTATCACATTTAGTCTGCAAGAAACAAGGGACAATATTATACTCAGATTGAGTGATTCTTCCATTCTATACTCTTCACAACAATGCTTTTGTTATCCCCAGTGACAGGTGAGGAATCTGAGGTTCGGAGTTTAGATAGCATGTGTAAGATCATACAGCTGGAAGATAACCCAAGTCCAAGGATACGTGTGCTGTGTCATGTGCTCTGGATCCGTAATGGCACCCAGTCTATCTCCCTTCCTCTATCTGGGAGAGCTGGGTGTTACCATTGTTCTGTGACCACCAGGGATCAAATTCTCCTATAGTTTTACTGAGAAAAGTGAACCAAGTCAGAAGGGCGTGACTTGATGAGAGTCTTCACTCTTTGTGCAAATAACTGACATGGTAATAAGTAACTAGCTAATCTGATAACAGTGTTTTATGATGGGGTCACTTTTATAAATACATCACCGGGTCCCTAAGTCTGATAAGGCCTAGACTAGCATGCAGGTGGGACAGCAGTTTGAATTGAGTCTATCGTCATGATTTGAAGAGGCAATGAAAATCTTAAGTAGCAAAGAAGAAAGTACTAAAGGTTCATGGGTTCAGCTGGGAGGAAACGCTTCGTGGTTCAACTCCAATTACTTTTTTGAAAATATCTTTCAGCTTGTTAAAAGGCCGAGCTTCTGATGGCTTTCCGATATATCAAGAAAAGATCATTAGAGAAAGTATCAGAAAATTTCCTTACTGTGAAGCTACCCTCCTCCAGCAGCTGGTGCGAAGCATTGCTCCGGTGGAAATTGTAAGGCTCCTCATAGCTAAGTTAATTATTTAATAAGGAAATTATTATTATTTTGAAAAATTTTGAAGAACAAACATGGAAATAGGTTTGCCTGTTAACTCTGTTTCTGTTTATCCATTTCCCCTCTCTGGATCCTCTTCTTCCATTTATATAGCTTGTGGTTTCATAAACAGTATTTCCCTATGATGGAATTGTAGATGGTTATAGTGGAAACTTACATGTTAAATAGCTCTGAAACTTGTAAAGGTGGGTACAGATGCACTGTGTAATACAGATGCTCACATGTACACTTGTAGCTTGTGAAAAACCAGTAGATGAAAGAGGAGTTGATTGTCAGGTTGATGGTTTCCGGTCAGTGGGGACGTGAAGGGGTGAGTCATGGGAAGGCTCATTGTATGTTCTGATAAACAGTCTCAAAAGTATGTCCCAGCTTCTTATATTCTACCTTGATGCCTCTAATTATAAATTTTCCATACTTAAAAAAAAAAATCTGTTTATACTTCCCAGCTATGAGAGGTGAATTTTATTAACTTTATTATCTGTTCTTTAAATTACTTATTGCCCTTTTATCATGTATTTATTTAAGAAGTATTTCGTAAGGCACTCCCTGCCTTCCCTGTTTTGAATAGGTTTCTGTTCACCTCATCTATACCAGTCATCCTTTTATACCCTTCAATGAAATCCTTTATCAGGTTTTGTCTACTAGACAAGACGTCAATCCTGACACTAGTCGCATCCACGGCTCGCTCCCTCCCTCCCTCTGGCAATTTCGATTCTTCTCTGCCTCCTCTAGGCTGTTATAGCATTCTCAGTGTGAAAAGTCCAGACTAGAAATGAGTTCCTGGTGCTCCTTTATACATTAAGACTTTACCTGTTCAGACCCGTGAAATGAGAAAGCTCTGAGCAGACAAGATCATCTCATGAAGTTCATGCATCCATTTATGCCTGAGAGCTCTCCACGATTGCACAGAGATTCTTCACCCTCACTTTAGTAGACTTGGCTATTTGGGGTTTAATCTTTTGGAAGATTAAAGTTAGCAGATTATGAGGATGGTTTATCAATTACGAATGTGTTTTGGCTGCACATATCAAACACCAACCAACCATGAATTAAACATAGATAAGGGTTTGTTTATTCACAGATATTCAGAAGCCCAAAGGTAGGCAGACCAGATCTGGCACAGTGGCTCAAAAGTGGATTGGGGACCCAAACACTTTCCCACTTTTCCGCCCAATATGCGTTAGCTGTATAAATTATCATACTCATGCTTACTACCTCATGTTTGCAAGGCATCTGATGCTCTTCCTCCAAGTTCACATTCCTATCCCAGGCATGCAAGAAAAGGAAAGAGGGTTATAGCTGGAAAACATAAGGTCTCCCACAAACCCTCTGCCTGTGCTACATGGCCGCTCGTAGCTGCACAGGCTTCTGGGGAAATGCATATTTTTGGCTGGTCTAAAAACCGCTGCTCTGAACAAAATTATGCTTCTATTAGTAAACAAGTTGAGAATAATGTAGTTAGAGTTTATGGAGTATAATGATTCATGTTTATCCTAGTGATCTGAGTCATTGAGAAGAGGTTTATTAATAAAGATAGTATTTAATGCAAATGAGAAAAATTTCTCTCTTTAAAAATATTTGTTTTTTAAGAGTTATATATTCTGCTCTCTGGAAAACTTTATTTGTCTGGAATGCTTATGGTTGTGAGTGTCCCAGATAGCCACTGTTTCCTGCCTAACAGGTTTCGTTATACTGCAAGTTCATAAGCCTATGAAGCTATGCTAACCTTCTCCTGTAACATGGTGGTCCTCACAGCTGGCTGCCATGAGGATCATCTGTGGTTCTTTCTGACGGTGATGACGTCTGGTCCCTCCTGCACAGGTTTTGATTCTCTCTGCCTGGTGTGGAACTCCGGCTTCTGCTTGTCACAAAGTTCAGCAGGAAGCATGAGGCGTGGCTACATTTAAGCAATGCTGTTCCAGCAGTATAACAGACTAAACCGTTAAAGAGATCTTGCTTTATCAATTGGCAGTGTGTATTTTAACTTCTGGAAGGCCAGCAAATGTCTCTGATTTTGTAGGACACACAGAATAAAGCATCCTGTTTGTTTTTAGGCTGAATATCGTCCATGGGCAGAGTTCTGATGCCTAAACAGACTCTTATTTGACAAAGCAGATGATGAGATTTTGTATAGTAAGAAAGAGTTCTTGTCATTCACCAGTGAGAAGAAAGATTCCATGTGTTGTTCAGCTGTACCATCAGTTTTTTTCTGAAGTGATAGTTCATGTTAAGAGCCATGCTTCTAACAAAACGTCTTCCAGTTTTACTGTCAGTTACATCTATGAGAATGTTACTGTGTTCTGACTCTCACAAAAGTCCCATTTGGGGAGAGATTTTGAACATGTCTCAGTCACTTTGGGGAAAAAATATTTGAATGTGGAAAGGCAATTGTCGTAAAGTCGGTTGAATTTATCCTACCCTGTTGATTTGTGGACCAGACTGTTGTCTGATCCAGTACTCTACTTTTGAGGGAAAAGAATTCTATAGATTACTAAGTGCTCAGTGTAACATTAAGTACCACTAATTCTTAAACTTTTAAGTACCAGCAATTCTTAAACTTTTAGTATGTCTCAGAATTACCTGTAATAATGCAGGTACATGGGCCACATGCTTAGAGATCCTAATTTAGAAGGTATGGAATGGCAGGAATGATCTGAATTTTTAACAAGTTCTCTGATGCACACCATTATTGGAGCACAGCCTCCACAGACCATCATTCCTGTTGAAATTATTAACTTAAATAACTAGTATCTAAGGTTTCATTTCATCTGTTTTTTTCTCACCATTATACTATCTTCATTCCAAAAGAGAATTCTTAGCACTTTAACACGAAAGGAAACCCAGTCATTATTATTTGTTTTCAGGAGGATCATGACAGTTTCAAAATGATTACGACTTTTAAAATACTTCTTGAACCTTTTGATTATTTTTTTTGACTATCTTGTTCTGTACAGAACAGTATAAAACAATGTTCCAAGGTGATATTTGTAAAGCTCTATTATATACAATTGGTAAGGTAATACTAAAACAAATATTCTTAGGAAGAAAAAGCAAATAATCAAATGAAAATTAGAATTGTGAAAATTGGCAAAATTTTACTTGGGAATAAATAAGTAAGTTTGAAAAATTCAGACAACTACTATTGGGAGTAGGTGAGATAGCTAGAAACCTATGATTATTTTTGCTTGCTCTAAATAGGTCTTAATCGCATCATCCCAGACAGATAAATATTTACCCTTATAATTTTCCATGTAAAAAAAATTTCACAAATCCTCTTTAGCAACCCATTCTCTTTTTAAGTAGCCCTATAATAAAGTTTCCACACTTTCTGTTTTTCTTAATACTCTGATGCAATCACACGTATGTCTATTTAATTAAAGAGTTTGGAACATTTCAATGATAAAGGTGATAATTTTTAACTATTAGAACTGCAAACCCACATTAAGTAGTTTTAAGTATATAAAGTCTTTAAAACACTTAAGTTGCACCAAAATTTTAAGAATTAAGGTAAACATTTGTAATGTGCCCTATGAATTGTCCCACAGAATATGTATATTGTTTTGATGTCAATTCTCAGAAGAAAATTCCACCCTGAGTTCATTGTCCTACATCTGAAATCTTTGTGAGCTTATTGAATAATTCTGATTGAAAAATACTTTTATTCTAGAATAGGGCATTTTTTCTCTTGAAATATTTGGATTCATGACTTACCTCCCATATACTTTGTGTAGAAAAAGGTGTACTCCAATGGATATTTGTCATTTTGTCATAGATGAAGTCTGTGTAATATCTAGCCTTAATGACTTTGCCACTTGTGTGCCTGCTTCTAGACAACATTGTTCTTGGAATGTCATCTCTGTAGTCTTTTCATGGTGACTTCAGAGTGTTTTTTCTCCTCTTTATACCCACTCTAGGGTTCCGATCCCACTGCATTCTCTGTACTTACCCAAGCCATCACTGGTCAGGTGGGTTTTGTGGATGTTGAATTTTGCACTACCTGTGGAGAAAAGGGAGCAAGTAAAAGATGCTCAGTATGCAAAATGGTAAGAAAGAAGTTCTTTTAAGTTCATTGACATCTGATTTAGATTTCATCCAAGTTGATGATTGAGTTTTAATATTCTGTAAATATGATGGTTGACATTAGTTTTCTAATACATTAGCTATAAAGTATGGTATCTAATACTTAAAAGTAATTTTGGAAGAGAACTACGAGATAAATATAGTTCTGTGCCATGTCTTCTGCCAAACTCCAGGCTGCCCCAGCTGCTATGCTGACCACCCCAAAGAAAGAAAATGAATGTGAGAAAATAAGAGAAAGATTATCCATAGGGGACTGAGGCTGGTACACATATGAGAAACTAGAATAAGACAATTTATAAACGTGCAATCTTAAATCTTCTGCCGTTGACTTTAACTATAATCTCTTCACCTACTCTTCCTTGTAAAATTACAACTCCCTTCTGTTACCAATCTTTAAGCGCTCTGGACTGTGATACCTACTTCTGCCAGAATTATCTTGGTAAAGGGCATATCTACTTGTGTTCTTCTCACATTCAGATATTACATACATGTATACATCTGTTCATTCACTTTACCCTATAGATAATGTTAATTTCCTTTTTTTAAAGATTGGCTCCTGAGCTAAAAACTGTTGCCAATCTTTTTTTTTTTGATTCTTCTCCCCAAAGCCCCCCAGTACATTCTTGTATATTCTAGTTGTGAGTGCCTCTGGTTGTGCTATGTGGGATGCCACCCCAGCATGACTTGATGAGCTGTGCCATGTCTGCGCCCAGGATCTGAACGGGTGAAACCCTGGGCCACCGAAGCAGAGCGCTCAAACTGAACTATTCGGCCACAGGGCCAGCCCCTAATTTCCTGTTATTTTTGAGGTTGAAGTTCTTCAGCATATTCTCCCATTCTGCTGTAACCCATCACATTCTGTTGTAACCTAGTTCTCCAGCTTCATTTCCTTTGCTTACTTGCTTCTCTGAGCATCAGTTTCCTTATGTGTGAAATGGGGCTAGAAGTGTGAGAATTAAATGAGACCATCTGTATTAAGTCTTGCTGATATAAAAACACTCCAAAATTCAGTACTTAAAACAGCAGTCACTTACTATTTGTCCCATGTTTGTGGTTGACTGAGGTACTTCTGTTCCAAGTGTCTCTCATCTTCCTTGGACCAGCAGGCCAGGCTGAGCGTGTGCTCATGGTGATGGCAGAGGTAAAAGTGGGCAAGTAGAAACACGTGAGGTCTCTTGAGGTCTAGCCTTGAAATTGCCATGCTGTCTCATTCCTTTGGCCAGAATAAGTCACATGGCCAAATTTAAAGTCAATTTTCCTCCCCTTCAGTGAAAAGAACTTTGAAATCACATGGGAAAGCATGTGGTTGCAGGAAAGAGTGAAGAACTGGGACAAATAGTCCAATACCATCTATGTATAAGGGCCTAGCACAGTGCTTGGCGTATAATTTTGCAAAAATATATGCTACATTTACACAAACTTCTTGCTGTCCTTGAACATATCCTTCACTGCCCTATTCCTACATTTTTATACAGGGTATTCCCTCCGCCTGGAATGCTTCTTTTCCAGCTCTCTGTCTACTGATTCCCTCCTGATAGAATGAGTCACTGCTTCCTCTGTGCTCCCATTGCTGTTATTTCTATACTGGGATATGAATCATGTTGTTAGGGTCTGCCTTCCTCTGTGCTGCCCCGTCCTGCTCTTTCTCGACCCTGGCTTCCTCTAGGATAACAATTGTATCTTCTTTGTCATTGTACTTTACCAATTCTGGCACTTAGTAGGTTCTTAGATAAATCATTTGTTAGCGTCTTTGGTAGACCGTTTCTTATATATCCATTATTGTTATAAAGTGTAAGCTAAAATTACAGATATAAATCAGTACACATCCACACATATGGTTTTAAAATAAAGTATAGAAAACTTAATATTTTTACTGCATAGTTCTTGGTTTAATGTCATAATTGGAATATCGTGCAGTCACAGCTCTTGAAATGAAAATCAACCTACTATCGCTTTCAGGTAATATATTGTGATCAAACCTGCCAGAAAACACACTGGTTTGCACATAAGAAAATCTGTAAGAATCTCAAGGACATTTATGAGAAGCAACAATTGGAAGCTGCCAAAGAAAAGAGTGAAGAGGAGAACAGTACGTATACAAAGACCGAGCTCGCACTGCTGCTCCGTGGAGAGAGGAATGATAGATGATATTCACCCAGGCCACACAGGACCTGAGTCTTCTCTGGGGACCAAGGACGCTTGGGGATGACCAACATAAGGATCACACTTAAACTCAACCGTGTCCCTATTTTGAATCCTTGAGATAACGTATAGAATATAGTCAGCCTCGATCTCACTAGAAAACGAAAGACATCAAATTCTGTAGTTTATGTAGTTTATTCCACATTCTGCATTCTGATGCACAAGAGTGCCCTGGAACAATGGGACTCTTGATGAATATTTATTTACATTCTGCTCACAAAGGATTTTAAAGTCTTTGAATAAGAAAATAATGAAATTTCCCCTAATAGCTACCCAAAGATTTTAAGTTTTGGAAACCTTTGAATTTCTTAATTATAAAACTGCAGGTGAAGTTACAGAATAAATTTATAAATTACAAATTAAATTGCAGATGTAATGCACGGATTAAATTTCTCCAAGTGCCAGGGCAGTGAGTGCCATATTCTTTTTCCTCTCACTCCCTCTTGAAGTACGTGACTCCTTTTCATCAGAAACAGGGAGTTGCTTCAGCAGTGGTTCACGTATAGCAGAGCAGGGCCCCACTCCTACGCCCCACCCAGGAGAATATGTCACACATCCTGGGGAGTGCCTGTAGGTTGAAAAAGTTGTCCAGGGGACTCTGATACTAAGCGCTTCCACCTCCACCCCTCAAGGGACTATTTCCTACCTGGTGGAGAAACGCTGTTAGTGGGATTCAATGATTTGTACAAAATTTAATCCGTACAAAATTAAATTGTATAAATAAATTGTCCAAATAGTCAGGCTTTCTCCTGTTTTCTGGACCAAATTTCTGTATCCTGTGTGTGGAGAGCAGTGAATAACAGCTGGTTGTGTATTAAACAAGCCGTGGGAGAGAATAGGACTGTTGGCAGAAGGGGAACTCCTGGTCATTAGCATCAGCAAGTGCCACACACTGTTCTAAATGTTACAAACCCTTTATTCTTCACAAATGTAGCATAGGCTTTATTATCCCCCCCTTTATAGATAAGGACATCAAGCTAATTCATGGCAAACTGTATTCAAATGCAGATTTTTGTCAGATCCCAGACAATAATCCTGATTTCAAGGCCTGGCTTTGCAGCCAGAGGCCTGAGTTCAAATGCCAGTTCTGCTGCTTTACTAGCTTGAAACTCTGAGCAAGTTACCAACCCCCTCTCTTGTCAGTTTCCCCATCTGTAAAAGAATGATAATAGAAAGAATAATCTACCTCATGTGGTTGCCACGAGGAGTAAATAATACGCATAAAGCACTTAGAAGAGTATCTGGCACATGGTAGGAACAAAATGACTGTTTTGTTTTCTTTTTATCAGATGGCAAACTCGATGTCAATTCTAATTGTGTTAATGAAGAGCAGCCAGAGGTGGAAACAGGAATCTGCCAAGAGGATTGCGGTCCTAAAGATTCTACGGAAGGGGACAAGGAATCTCTTCAGAGTGATGCTGGCTTGGAATGCTTACAGGATGCTCCTGCAGGTCCACAGGCATCTGAGGAGTAAAAGGCAGAGCAGTGCCAACATGATGGTCCTCCCCCTGGCAGGTAGCTGGAAAACTCATGTGACTGTGTCCTCATTGCCTTGTGACACCTGCATGGCACTGTGGCAAGATTTCATAGAAGAGAGGCTTTCCAGCAAAGCTCTGTCCACCATGCCCTCATTTCCTCCTGATTTCTGTTCTAGAGTTGGACAGATATTCCTAGGGAAAAACGTATTTTTCAAAATATGGGAGAAATATTTCTTTTTCTCTTTTTTTTTAAGGAAGATTGGCCCAGAGCTAACACCTGTTGCCAATCTTCCTCTTTTTTTTCCCCTCCCCAAAGCCCCAGTACATAGTTGTATATTCTAGTTTAAATCCTAGTTCTTCTATGTGGGATGCCACCACAGAATGGCTTGATGCTGTGATGTGTAGGTCTGTGCCCAGGATCCAAGCCAGCAAACCCTGGGACCCTGAAGTGGATCATGCCAACTCAACCACTATGCCACCAGGCTGGTCCTAGGAGAAACGTTTCTATTCCCTTTCTGAACTCAGCTTTCCAGCAGTTGTTCTCAGAGGAAAATAAATTCCCTGAAAGAAGAAATACAAGCTGTAGAAAACAAAGGGGCAAGGAGAACAGGTGTAGAAGAGAGGAGATTTTCAGGAAAGAAAAAGTTTATAGCCACAGAGATGGGTAGTTAAAAGAATCATAAGTTATATGTGAATAAAATGCATATAAATTACATTTACAAAAGTGAAGTTCTAGTTATTAGGATGTAAGGAAATGAAAAGCTCTATGTTAAAGGATCTTTGCCATAGTTCAGCTGATTATAGCTTTCTATAGAAATTATCCTGAGCAGTCTGAGCTTTATGTAGTGCCTGCAGTGATGTTTTATCTACAGTATTGGTACCTTCAGAAATGTCAGATCCCCCAGGAGGAGCTAAAGCATAGCCAGAGTCATCTCAGCATGTGCATTACAAAAGATGTTCCATGAAATTTTTGATTAAATAATGACTAAACATACTGGGTCCACAATTATTGTAAAATTAATTCATGTGCCATATTCCACTTGAAAGGCTGACTTTTATCTTCATGTAACTTTCATGTGGCTCTTCCTGTCCAGAAACTGATTTATAACTGTCATTTATAGAATGTTCTGGCATCAGTTTTTAGTGTATGTAGTATTTAAACAGAGCAGCAGTCTGATAGTTGAAGATAGTGCTGTGTTTCAAAGTTTGTTGTGTTGATTGTAAAATAAATTATACCTATTGTATAACCAACTCACATCTTGTTTCACAGTTTATTGCTGTTAGAGTGTGGCAAATATTAGACAACTTAACAAATATTAGGAAGCTTAGCAAATATTGGAGAACACAGTAATTATTTTAATATGTACCATTGTGAATCAAAATGTCTAGAGTCCTCAGCTGACTTTCCTGTCCACATTCTCTATCTTGCTGGTTCTCCTCTTCCTTACACTCAATTACTTCTCTCCCAGCACCAACATGTACATCGTCTGCACACCCTACACCACGCTGCTCCAGGAAGGCTGCATGTGAGTAAATTCAATGCTAAGGGTTAGCTGGGTAGGGATTGAGCAGCCAGATTTCATCTGAGCTTGTCAATCCTGACAAGCCTTCCTTCCATCATCAAGGTACCTCGTTTATGCACAGATACACGTTTGATCTTTGGGTGGGAAGATAGTCCTCCTGGACCACCCTCTCGCACAAATATGTTTTTTAACCTGAGTTCCTTTCTTTTTAATATTTTTTGTGTTTGCGTTATCATCATTCTGTGTTACCACCTCCTGCCTTTGGATACCATAGAGAGTTGTGAAAAAGCAGAAGGAAATAGGAAAATCAAGAGATGTGGCAACGTAGAGGTAATTTTCCCTCTCATTGAAATGAATCAGATATCCAACACAGCTAAAACTGGCTTAAATAGGAACTTTTATGTTGGACAAAGAGGACTTCAGGTGTACGCCATGTCAGTATCAAAATTTTCCACAGGTGTATTTCAGGGAAGAGGTGGTCAGAAAATGGGGTTTAAGAGAAAATTGGGTTGGTTCTGATTATAATCACTTCCTTTGTTGTAAATAACCTAAAATAGATGTTTCTGTTATAATAACATCAAAACAGATGGTCATCCTGGTTATTCTTTTTCTTTACCATGTTAATTTATATTGAATATACTATCAACAAACTTTTCTCAAACAAAAATAGGACCTAAAGGATTAGAATAGTCTTACTATTCCAGTATGTCTTATACCTAGAGCTGATGTAATAGAATATTAAATTGGCCAGTGAGTTTATTAGAGAATTGGATTCTGCTTTTTGACTCAATAGGTAATAATAGTAACTAACACTGAAAGTTACTGTATCCCTGAAGTTATCTTGTTCCATGTTGGCAATAGCCCTGTGAATTAGACTTTATTTTTATCCCCATAACAGAGATAATGAGGTTTGAGTCTAACAAGAGCAACTAACTTATCCAGAAGTGCAGAGCTGGGACCCGACGAGGTCTGCAGTTTTGACTACTATGCTGTACACTCTGAAATGCTACCTTCACTATAGTGTCTCTGCAGACATAAGATAATGGAGCTCTGAAGGCAAGCCACTTTATAGGATGTAATGGATATTCTTGAGGCCCTTAAAAAGATGACTGGTTTTAGTCATCCATCATACATATGATTTACTTGAGTTTTAGTAGGATATTAAACTTAATACAAATTCTTAAAGCAGATACTCTTTTTTTTTTTTTTTCCTTTTTTCTTCCCAAAGCCCCCCGGTACATAGTTGTGTATTTTTAGTTGTGGGTCCTTCTAGTTTTGGCATGCGGGCTGCCGCCTCAGCATGGCTTGATGAGCAGTGTCATGTCCACGCCCAGGATCTGAACCTGCGAGACCCTGGGCCGCCGAAGCAGAGCACACAAACTTAACCACACGGCCACAGGGCCGGCCCCAAAGTAGATACTCTTGCAGTGTTTTTTTTCTTCTCTGGATCCCATCTCCCCTGCTTGTAAAGCAAATCAGTACCCTTCTTGAGCGGGAGCTGTACGTCTCCCAATGCGGGTGGTTTTATAGTTACTGTCAGGTGGTAGTGACATGATTCCTTGGCCACAACTAGGCCAATCAGAGCACTTCCCAAAGATTTGACATTCCTGATGCTGAAGAAGGGAGAGTTTTGTGTGTGTGTATTTCTCCCTTGGGACGTGATAAATTACAGAGATTCAGTTCCAGAACTGTTGGAGCTGTCGTGTGGAGGGACCTGAGAGAATGCAGCTGTTAAGCAGACACAGGCAAGAGAGGGATGGATGATGGGGACACTATTTGAGCCATTGAATCCACTGGGCTCTGACACAGTTTACACTGGGTTTATGGGATTGGGTTACATGAGCCAATAAATTTCCCATTTGGATTTCTATAAATTAGAACCAAAGAATCCTTATTAATACATCTTGTGACAACTAGAAAACAACTGGAACCAAGCTTTAAAAGTTAAATACATATAAATATAGCTAAAAGGAAACTGAAGGTGTGTAATTGAAGTTTTTTGAAATTTATATGCTCTTAGAAAAAAATACAATGGCAGTTCAAGTGTTGAATTAGATTGTAGTTACCATTTTGGTTGGAAAGGAAACCAACACAGGTGTCTTTGCATCTCTTTACTGACAGTTATTTTAGAAAAACTGCTATTTGCTTGAAGTTGTATAAAGATTGGTGCACATTTATGTAAACTGTGATAACTTCACAATGTAATTTGCATAGATAAAAAGCAAGATCTTAATTTAGTAAAAAGCAAATTTCTTCTTCCTTCTCATCATTACTTCAGTAAACAGGAAATATTTTCCTCAAAAGGAAATATATCCTAATCCTAATTTATATCCTAATTTATAGAGCTAGTTTTATATATCCTTTAAGGAGGAAGTTGTAGTTTTATAGATAGGTGAAGGCATCTTTTTAAATTGTGATCACAATTTGTCTAGTATTCTATCAGCTATCTAGTGTTGTATCAGGTAGCTACATAATTGACCAATCCAGGGCAATGTAGCTAACTAATTCTTAAGCTCATGCAATACTACTTAATCCCTGGATGATTCTAAATGGGTAAGAATTAGATTAAATGTGGAAAAAATGATTAATCTCAGAAGAAAGCATGAGAGAATTCTTTATGACTTGGCATGAAAAAGGCCTTCCTAAATATGATACTAACCCCAGAAGCCACAATAAGTTCACCTATGTTTAAAAAATAATGTGAACACTTCTGCTTCTGGAAAGATGGAGCAGACATATTTTTCCTTATTCCTGCCACTAAGTAAAACTAAAACCCCTGGACGTTATATATAAAACATAAGAAGACCCTGTAGGATGGAGAGAAGGCAGACTAACTAGGGACCTTGGGATTCAGGCAGTGACACTTGATTTGTTCTCTGGGTTTTCTTTGTGCTTCGTATATCCTAGACTTGGAGCTGAGGAAGCCGGCAACATGGAAATATCAACAACTACAGACAAAAATAAGCCCCAACAAATGCCTACCAGTCTGCTGGCCTGCCTGTGCCCTCAAAACTGCAACATCACGTACGTCACACCTGAATTTCTAGCCTGCCCCAGGCTACCCTACGAATTTTAGACTTGCCAGTACCCACAGTGGCAGGAGCCAATTCCTTAAAATAAATCTCTCTCTATACATATATGCATATCCCCTATTAGTTCTGTTTCTCTGGAGAACCCTAATACACCAGGTGTCTTAGTTCAGACTGCTATAACAAATTACCATAGACTAGGACAGCTTACACAAAAAATATTTATTTTTCACAGTTCTGGAGGCTGGAAGTTCCAGCCCAGGGGCCAGCATGGTTGAGTTCTTGGTGAGTGCCCTCTTCCTGGTTTACAGAGGGGCGTCTTGTTGTGTCCTCACATGGCAGAAAGAGGGCAGGCTAGCTCTCTGGCCTCTTACACAGGTACTAATCCTCATGAGGGCTCCACCCTCATGACCTAATCACCTCCCAAAGTCCCCACCCCCAAACACCATCCTATTGGGGATTAGATTTCAACATATAAATTTTGGGGGGACACAAACATTCAGTCTGTGACACCAGGTACGGTTCCTAAGGGACACAACTGCTCTTGGGATAAAAATAACAATATTAACTGAGGTGTATTGAGCACTTTAAGAAAGCCACTCTACCTAACACTTTACATATATTATCTAACTTAATCTTTGAGACTCTATGAGATAATTATGATTATTATTTTAAATAAGAGGAAATTAAAGGAGGTTAATTTCCACTCGTTAAACCTAGAAAGGTTAACTAACTCGTGCAAGTAACATAACTAGTAAGTGAAAGAGCTAAGTTAGGTATTTCTGATTCCAGAGCCCCAGCTTTGAACCACTACCCTCTGTAGATCTCTGTATATCAGTATTTTCTGTTTCCTCCTCATGCGGTCTCCTCACGGATCCTGAAATAAATATGCTTTCACTTGAGCCAGCTCGAATGGGTCTCTGTTGTTTAAAACAAAGAACTTAATTAAAACTTAATTAGAAACATCCTCTCAATTGTATGTCCCATTTTGGTAGAGTTTTAGGTTAATTAAGTGAGGATCATGTCTTCTATTTTGTGTTTCTCCCCAAATGGTATTTACTACAATGTTTTCCAATCACAGCCGACTCAGTAGCCCTTCATTATTGAATTAAAAATGTCCAATATTGAGGCATGCATTTTAAAGCAAATCTTTTTCTTCACACAAATGAGACATATTCACTTTAGTTCTCTATAAAGGAAATTAAGTAAAATTTGCTAACCATATTTTTGTAATTGGGATAAGTTTTTTGTCCTTTTCAGTGATTGTAAGATTAAAAATAAAATAGACACATTCTTTTACTATTCTTTTAGTGGTTAGCCTGGAGATTACAATATTCCATCCTCAATTTACTAAAATCTACTTAAAAATTAATACTGCCTATGTCACTTATGGGCCAGTTTAAATCTGATCCCGAATACACATTTCCAGCATGAAATGGATTGTTGCTATGCCCAGGCAACATTACTGCTTGGTGGGTCTGATAGTACTCAGCTTGTGATGAGTAGCTTCAGTCAAACTGTTACTTGATGATCAATGGTCAGGCTCTTCGTGCTGGGTTGTGTGCAGTAGCATGCCTACAACTGCTGTTTGAACAGTGACTACTTCTCTGCTGAAGATGGTGTAGCTCTACTCAAGAACCCTTGGAGACTGCACTGTGACTCTCTTGGCGCTTGCCAGAGACTTGGCTTCACAAGGCATCCTTACCTGCGGGAAATACTTCTAGCACCATGGATTATGCTAGGTTATTGTATTAGTTATTTGTTGCTGTGTAACAAATTTCCCTGCAGTTTATGAGCTTGCAGCATCAATAAGCATTATCTCATACAGTTTCTGCAGGCCAAAAATCCAGGAGCAGTTCACTGGGTGGTTCTGGCTTGGGGTTTCTCAGGAGAGTGAGGTGAAGCTTTCAGCCAGGCCTACAGTCATCTGAAGGTTTAATTGGGGCTGGAGGATCTGCTTGCAAGATGGCTCACTCACATGGTTGTTGGCAGAAGGCCTTCGTTCCTCACTGGCTTGAGGAAGGAGGCCTCAGTTCCTCACCACGTGGGCCTCTCCAGAGGACTGCTTGTGTCCTCATGACATGCCAGCTGGCTTCTCATGGAATAAGTGATCTAGGAAAAACAGCAAGAGAGCCTTTCTATTCTTTCTATGACCAAACCTTGGAAGCCACACACCATCATTTTTGCCTTGATATTGGCCACTCACCCACATCAATACCAAAATCTGCTTTTTCTTTTCCAAGCTACAACCTTCTGCCAGGGGCCATTCCTGAATTTTCAGACTCTGGCTATGTACAGAATCATAAGAGCCCATGGGTGAAAGGAGGGTATAGATTCTTGGTGACAGTCGTTACTCCCTTTCGGGCTCTCACGTCTTGCCTGTTTTGATTTCAGCCTCATTTCTACCGTGTGTCTATGTTATATGTCTATGTCACAGTGTTATGGTGTCTAACCACCATCAGATGTAAAAAATGTCACTCTTCTTTTTATAAGTTTTTGATCTAGCCCTTTAGCTTAGCTGGAGAAAACCAACAATGCATTTGTGTTACCTTAAGTGTCCAGCTTTGTGTCGCAGTACCGGGCAACTGCCAAAAGCTTTTTTGGTTTCTCTTTCCTCTAGCAGCAAGCTTCTGGGTAGGCCAAGCTCAGATCACTGGCCCACACCCAGAACTGGCAAAGGCCTCTGAAGTTGAGGATAAAAGATCATAGACTGGAGAAATAAATTGTGGTATAGTCGTATAACGTAATTCTATACAGCAATGAGAATGATAGCACTATTGCTACGAGCAACAACATGAGTGAATTTTACAATGTTGAATAAAAGAAGCCAGACCCAAAATAATTCAACTTTCATTTACATGCCTTTCAAAAACAGACACAATGTATGGTTTAGAAATGAGGACAGTGATTACTTTTGAAGGGCGGGTAGTAAGAGGTAATAGGACAGGTGACAGGAATGAGGAGGCTTTTAGAGTGTTGAGAATGTTCTGTTTCTTGATCTACGATGCCAGTTCACATAAACATGTTCATTTTTTGAAAATTTTTTGAGCTGAACGCTTAAGATTTGTGTACATTTCTATATGTGTTTTACTTCAACAAAAACTTAAAATGCAGGAATTATTTGTTGGTGTTTCTGTTTACATTTAAATGTTTCAAATAATATCATAATAAACATATGCTGAATCACAGAGTTTAATATACACTGAAAACCACTAGAGTTTCTAGAAATACCAGGGGTTATCTCAGTGTAACTGTGAGCATTTGAACATGTTCTGTGCCTTTCTCTTCAAGGTATTTTTCCTCTCGTGTTGGAACCGTGTCCCAGTTCAGAGAGGTGAAAGCCATTGCTGATCTCTTCATGGACCTTACAAAAACAGCATCTTCTGGGTCTTCCAACACAGTTCTACAAAAAATGGCAATTATGTCAGAAAAAAAAATCGATTATACAAAAATGAATCTTTAGTTTAAATCAATCAATGCCATATTTTTCTATGTTATTTGTATAGTACAACTAACAAATAACTTTTGGGCTCTACTGACAATGACTTTCAAGATATGTAATGCTATTTCTATTATATAGATTGTTTATTTTAAAAATAGAGTATTTGAACATATTTGGGATCGGCTATTACAGTTTAGATCTCACACATTCATGCATTCATGTTTTAAACCAGTGTTAAATGAGATTAAAATATTTATACATATACGCATATTAGTAACTTATATACATTTGATTGGAAAGTTATTATTTCTTGACATTATGCTGTATTTTATAGACATTCTTGGGGATAACAATTTTTCAACACTGAATCCAAGCAAAAAATTCATAAGTGCAAAATTTAAAAAGAAAGATGATTTTTAAATTCATCAATATTCATGAATATGAAATGTTTTTCATAGTTTAATAAAGTATTTGCTTTTGAAAATGTAAATTCCAGTGGATATAAAATGTTAACAATTGCTCTCATTCAACATATTTAGAGGAACAGTAAACAAGGAAGGTAAAGACCCTCACTTGTAATAGCTAATAATTCTTATTTTATCTTTTTACTCATTGAATCATGGTTTAGTTTATTTTAGGTTATAATATTAAAAACCTAAATATGTCAAATATGAATATGTAGCTTGAACTCATTTATCACAGAAAAACATAGCATTTTTCCCCATTGAAAAATTTTCCCATCTATTGAAGTGTTAGTCATTTTTTAATTCATTAAAATGTATTTGGGGAAATGGGAATAATTTAGAGGGTCAACACAATTATGAAATAATCTGATAATAAAAGTAAAGTTAAAAAAATCACTTACTTGTCTACATTATTCGCAAATGCAAAATCTAAAAAAGATACATTTCTAAATTAGTATTTTTCAAATGTTTATTCAGTATCTTAAAACAATAGAACAATGCTGTAAAGGAAAAGTCTAGAGCATAGCTCTCTGGTTTTTGAACAAGCATTTAGATGAATAGTTCAATTCATCAAATAAGCCTTGCTACCTTATCCTAAATTGAAATTTTCTCTTAGATATAGTGCCTTAGGTTTTCCTTAACTTTTGAGGCAAATTCTTTAATAAAAGACACATCTCAAAACTCTGAGAACAGAATTCTTAATCAATTTAGTTACCAATGGAATCCAAGTGGGAATTTTCATAATTAAGATATTAAGTCTCATGTGCAGAAACTGATGCTTTTTTTCAGATAGGCACATGCATTTATGAATAGGATAATAGACCAAATGAGGAGAAATATTTAGAGCAGTTTAAACCATTTGAATTCTTGGCGTTAACTTCAAAGTAATAGAATAAACAAATCCTAGATCACAAGAATCTACATCTTCCCCAGCATTGGAGCTCAAAGGCTAGTCCTCAAAGCTTGGATTTCTTCTGCTGTCTTCCAGAGACTGTCCGTGCTTGTTTTTTTCCTCTCCAGAAGGCCTAGTGCCAGGCTAGAGATGGAATGTACCAGCACCTGTTGGGCCACCAAAGCCCACAGTGTGAGCTCTTGCCAATCCACAGGCAGCAGGGCACATACGGTGTCCTCCTTGGGAGAGGAGTTCATGGCATTGTTCCCTTCACAAGTGGCTGACTCAAGTCTCTCATGCCCTTTCTGATCTCCTAGACTTTATTTTTATACATTTTTAATTACAAAAAGTGTACATTTAACTGAATATAAACAAAATAGTGAAAAGTGAAACCTTACTTTGACTTTTCCAATTATCAAAGTATCACTTATCAAAGTATCACTATTAAGAGTTTTCTATGTGGGCTTCCAGCCCCCTAGGTGCATACACACGTGTACATGTACACAGGGATTTATTAGCTGACAAAATTCCAATTTTGTCATTACTTTACAGTATTCCATGATGTATTTTTTTATACTCAAAATATATCATGGAATAATTCTGTAGTGCAGTAGTTCACATTGTATGAATGTGCCATAACTTAACATTCTTCTATGATTGACCATTTAGATTGTTTCCACTATTTTTTCTATTACAAAAAATGTTTCAACGAGCGGCTTTATACACATATCTTTGCATGTGCAAATACTTATATAGGAGGGAGACTTCAAATTTAATTGCTATGTTGAATGGTTTGCACGTTTTATATGTTGATGGGTACTGCCATATTGCCAATGGTTTTCCAAGAAAGTTGAACGAGTTTACGCTCCCACCAGTAGTACATGAGTTGCGCTTCTCTCTCCCCTCATCCACACCAACTTTTTCAACTTTTGCCTACCCACTAGATGAAAATGGTATCTCATTGGTTTAATTTGTTTTGATTTGCTCACTAATGAGGCTGATCATTAGATATCACATTTATTTCTTTCTATAAATGTCTTGTCAATAGTTCTTGTCACTTTTTGGAGTTTTCAAAGTGATTTATAGGAGCCCTTTGAGATAATGGATATTAACTTTTGCCTATTTTATATATTGCAAACATTTCTTCCAACTGTGTCTTTTAATTTTGTTCCTATGTTACATAATGGTTTTGGTTTTCATTTTTTTTTTTCCTTTTTCTCCCCAAAGCCCCCTGGTACATAGTTGTATATTCTTCGTTGTGGGTCCTTCTAGTTGTGGCATGTGGGATGCTGCCTCAGCGTGGTTTGATGAGCAGTGCCATGTCCGCGCCCAGGATTCAAACCAACGAAACACTGGGCCATCTGCAGCAGAGCGTGCGAACTTAACCACTCGGCCACGGGGCCAGCCCCTTGGTTTTCATTTTTATGTCGTTTAATCTGTCAATATTTTCTTTTCATGGCTGTGAGGTTTGTGTAAGGCTTTGATTGACCTTCTTCACCTCGAGACTGTGAAAGGTTTTTTCCCCAGTACCTTTCAATTCGTTTACATTTAGATATCTAATCTCTCTGGAATTTATTTTTGCATGCGATGTCTCCCTTAGAAAGTAGTCCTTTGGCCAAGGACCCCTGCATGGCACAACTCCAGGGGCTCGCAGTCATTGTTTTTTGTGTAAATGGCACTTACTGGAGTTGTTCAACATGGTGGTGCTGCTGACTGCTGATTTTTGCCTTCATAAATCCTTCTGACTCCGCGCAGCTTCCTCAATTGCCAACCATTCTCCAGATCTCACATGGACCTCTGGTACCTACCTGAGCCTTCATGCGTAAGTAGCACTTGGCATTTGCTTTCCTGGGTATACCTGGTGTCATTGCTACCCAAAGTCAGAGATGTCTTCGAGGCCTGGCTTCCTGAGCCTTCGATCCCCCAGCTCAAAACTTAACTTTCTGTTTTCTCTGGATTCTGTCCTGTTTCCTTACACCTTGGGTGATTCACGGTGGTGAAATGCCATTGGTTGAATTGTCTGCCTGATTTTCCTTTTTGGTTTTCCTCGTCCCTCTTCCTGCACTGTATGTGTCTCAGCTGCCAGGCCCAGGCTCTGCGACACTGCCCCCAGCCTGGTCTCAACACCTGGAGTTCTGTCTTGTTTGGGGAGAAGAGCAACCATGATAGAAATCCAGCAGTTTCACTTTTGGGCCACTAGTGGACTTTGTAAAAGTTTATTGGTACTTTCATTTATTTTAAATAGCCCTTAATGGCTTTCCACATTTAGATAGTTGGTGGGAAATCTGCAAATGTCTGTTTCCTTAAAGCCATATAAAAGCCCAAAGAGTTTTGGTTCTGAGAACGTTGCTTATCGTGTAATAAGAACCAAAGACATTAATGGAAATAGGTACATGCCTTTTAACCACAGCTATTTGTTAAAGATAGCGGAAATTTGAAGAAACTTCAAGTTGACGTTGCTTCTCAAGCTATTTGGAATATAATTGGTTTCTTTCTCAATTTAGGGTTAAGGATAATAAAATCAAAATGGGGTGTTACAATTGCCTTATAAACATTTTCAAGTGTAGTTTCTTCCCAATAAAAGAATTCAGAGTCTTAAATGTGCATGTCACAGTAAAATAAGATTTATATAAAAACAAATACAGAAACTATAAAACTATAAGGCACAAGTTTCAAAAACCTGTGTGGTGGGTTTTATTAGTTTCATTATAACTCTTTGGTTTGTAGAAAATGAGGAGATTGATTAGAGTCATGTTGCCAATTTTTAGGAGGGCTGTAATCAACATGCTCACGAATTAAGAAGAAAAACTTTCAAATGCAATAAAATATTCTATCTTTTCTTCCTCTGCTTCTGTATTTGGAGGTTTGCTCTGAAAGGCAGTAAAGAGAATAATTCTCTCAGTAATCTGGTTACTCAAGAGAAATGTGTAGCACTAAGGTCAGCTGTCCTGCTCACACGTGTACCAAAAATAGCACTGAAAACCAGATGGGGTGGCCTTACAGTGCTGGTTATTAGGTGCATTGGCTATTTTTAAGAGTGGAGATTTTCTATCCAGAGATTCCGCTCCCACCCCAGCCTGGCTAACTCCCACTAATCCAGGAACATTCAATTTGGGCATCAGCTCCTACAGGAAGTAAAAGAAAAACCAAGGAAGTGGCTGACTAAGAGAACAGTTCTACTTATCACGCACTGGATATGTGTCAGATGGGTGTTGCAGCGTTTCACATACCAAGAATCATAACAGCCAGAGGAAGGTGATAGCCCCATTCAAAAAACAGCTGAAGCAAATTCACGTCCAAAACAAAACTTGTAATTATTAGCAGAGCTTGTGTTCAAACTTGGGGAAATCCCCCAAAGCTTGTGCTCCTTCCCCTTCAGTGGCTGTTCTCTAACTGGAGTGCATCAGAATCACCTGAAAGACTTGTTTCAAACACAGCCTCCTGGGTCCCACCCTTGAGTTTCTAATCTAGTAGATCTCGTTTGAGGCACAGATTTGCATTCGTAACAAGTTCTTAAGTGATGCTGCTGCTGCTGGTTTAGAGGACCACACTTTGAGAAACACTGCCCTACCCTATTGTCTTCTGCACGTAGAGCATGTCCTCCAGACATTACTTCCATTCCATGGGACATATAGGGGATAAAGGAACAAGTTAAATGACACTTTGTGGAAACAGTCATATAAGTTGAGGCATTCTACAACATAACTGGCCCAGTTCTCTCAAAAAGTTGTGGAAACAATTTGGGAATATATTCTGAATTAAAGAAGATTAAAGAACAATCAAATGTAATTATGAGCCTTGACTGGGTACTGGTTTGAAAAGGCAGCTGTAGAAGCCATCTTGGAACTAGGAAAATTTGAATATGGATTATGTGTTAAATAATATAAATAGATTATTTTTCTTAGGTGTCATAATGGCATTGTGGCTGTGTAGGAGGATGTCCTTATTTTTAAACTTACAGGCTAAATTATTTAGGAGGGAAATGTCACGATGTCTGCTAGTGAAGCATTTAAAGGGTTCAGCAATGTTTTGACGTTTTCCAGTTTACGCAAGAGGCAAATCCTCATATGGAGTGCAGTGAATATGACAGAATATTACTAATTGTTAAATATACATGGGCATATACAGGTGTTTAATATTATTTCAACTTTTTCTATGTTAGAAAGATTTCACAATAAAAAGTTGAAGGAGGGGCCGGCTCCGGGGCCGAGTGGTTAAGTTCGCGCGCTCCGCTGCAGCGGCCCAAAGTTCGGATCCTGGGTGCGGACATAGCACCGCTCATAAGGCCACGTTGAGGCGGCGTCCCACATCCCACAACTAGAAGCACCTGCAACTAAAATATACAACTATGTACAGGGAGGTTTGGGGAGACAAAGCAGAAAAAAATAAAAAAATAAAAAATAAAAAAAGAAGATTGGCAACAGTTGTTAGCTCAGGTGCCAATCTTTAAAAAAAAAAGTTGAAGGAAACATCTTGATTTTTTGCTCTCATGCTTTTTTTTTTCTCTTGCTCATTCTTTAATAATAGTTTAGCTGGTTGTAGATTTCTTCGTTGACTATTACTTTTTCTTAGCCTTTTAAAGGTTTTAGATAACTCTCTTCTGACTTCTGTAATTGCAGTTGGAGAGTTTGTCATGAATATATAAATAATTCTTTTGTAGGCCACTTACATTTTCTCTCTGATGATCTTAAGATCATTTTGCCTTTGGTGTGGATTTTTGTTGTTATATGTCTTTTACGTCTTCGGACTAATTTTGTCTGGCGAATCTAAGGATTCATACATTTATCAAATTTGGAAAATTCCCAGCCATTATCACTTCGAATATTACCTTCTCCCCTCTCTTTCTCTGTTTTTCCTGCAGGGTTACTAAACTAATTGGACTTTCTCTTTCTAATATCTCCTTGTCTCAACAGCTAATTAATATTTTCTGTCTCTTGCTTTCTCTATGTTGCATTCTGGGTAATTTCTTTAAAACCTTTTTTCAATTTAATATTTTCCCTTCATTTTTAGAAAATCTATTCCAGAATGTATTTTCTATTTCAAATGTATGTTGTCTCTTTGGCAAAACATCCTGAGGAAAGGATTTTGTCTTTGTATCTTTTTTCATCCCTCCTTGTGATACCTGGTGATACAGCAGCCACCTTGTAAGCATAAAGCACAGTAAGAATAGCATAACAAAAGATAGATGTATTCTTGAACTCTGATGACATCATTGAGCTTTATACTCACCCCAGACACCTTACCTTTGTATTCTTTGCTGTGTGAGAAAAATAAACCTCTATTTGCTTAAGTCACTGTATTGGATTTCTCTTACATACAAGAATTAAATTCAAACTAATGAAATGTCACAGAAGATATACAAATTATACTTGCATATTATGATAGTATATATGAGTACAACCAAAATATTAACAATGCTTATTTCTGGGTGGAGGAATTGCAGATGATCTTTATTCTTAAGGTTTTTTCCATTTTATCAAAAACTTATACCCTTAATTGGTGAAATTGTCCAGTGATCATGGTAATAATAACAACTGCAGCTTATTTACAATGTCCTTTATACTGTGCTAGTGACTAGGGTAAGGACATCAATGTAATATCTCATTATCACATTACCTCATTAGTTAAATATGTGTAAGTGAAGATGAAAATTGTATATCACTTTTATTAGACTAATAAAATTAGATCATATTCATTTCTCTATGTAGGTACTTAGCTTATTGCAACTTGTAGTTATTATAATCAAATTACTCAAAAGTTGAGGAGTTTGAATTTTAATTTTGTCTTTTTTCGAAAATACCTGAAGGTACTCTCTGGGCTGGATTTTGCTTAAATGGTGATCTAGGATCCCACGAGGCATCTACTTTTCCTTGGAATGCTATTGATTGCACAATATGAGCCTTTTTGTGGTTAAAAATGGTAATCATTGATCTTCTTTCTTTTTCTGTAACTTCTGATAAATGCAAAAAATAGTGTTATTGCATAGCATTATAAACAGATATGCAAAGTGATTCAAACTAGAAGTAAACACTTTAAAAAATGTATTTATCTGAACTATGCAATCGATGAACATCCTGTCAAAACTAATTTGTGAAGGGTTATCACAGTTATTTCCCTAATCTTACAAGTGCTCAATATGTGCTCCTCAGGTCACAAGGCACAGATCAATCCTACTGCATTCCAACATTTCTTTTTTTTTTGCTGAGGAAGATTCACCCTGAGCAAACATCTATTGCCAATCTCCCACTTTTTATATGTGAGCCCCTGCCACAGCAGGGCCACTGACAGATGAGTGGTGTAGGTCTGCACCTGGGCACCAAACCCAGGCCACTGAAGCGGAGTGCGCTGAACTTAACCACTAGGCCACTGGGGCTGGCCACCAACACTTTCTAACACATCATCATGAATGATTAAAATCACAACTATGATACATCCTTTCATTTCCTCAAGGCTGTGAGGAAGAAGAGGTATAAATATAAGGTTTTGATATAGAAGTTAGTAATAAATTATTAAGAATTTTCAAACCTGTAGACATAGAAAGGTAGATGAGTAATAAAGCACTTGGAGGTCAAATAGGCCTCCAATAATGTAAAATGTAATGCCCTGAGGTGGATTATTTTTGTGGCTTATATAAATCAGACATGCTAGTTTATCTACAATGTCTAAAGATGTATATTCATAAAGAAGTTCTCAATTATATAGGTTATAATATGTATATTTATAGGATTTCAAAAATATGATTTTTAGAACTTAAATAGGCCTAAGAGATTTAGTCCAATCCTCTCAATTTTGAAATACAAAACTAAGGTGCTGGGGGTAAAGGATTTGGCATCTAACACGTTAATGTCAAAATCAGGATCACAAGGAGAACTAGCATCACGCTCAGTTAGATGCCGTTCCAATACAGTGGTCAAGAGACACAAATTCCTAAAGTAGGGCAAATTTCATTGAGCAAAAATTTCAAAAATAAATAACTGAAAAACTTTTGTTTACAAAGACAATTATGTTCAAAGACATTTAGCATTTTTAGCCACTGAGTTATAAGACTGCTTCTCAAATATTTCTCTGCAAGAAAGAGGTGTCCTTACGATTTCGGTCAAGCAACTCTACTGCTGGCAGGTGGTAGATTATATACAAACGGTATAGGTTATATTGGCACAAAGGGTTTTGGTAGAGACCTGCAAAGGAAAAATTCAAATTAAGATGTCAGGTTTCGAAATTAGTTTCATTTATCACTTGATAAAATATGGGAAATTGTAGGATTAATATAAAACGTAAGACCATGTAAAGCTCTGCTTCACAGACCAATGGTCTCACCCAACCCTTACTTATTCAGAGCAGCACTTAATTTTCCTATCTGCTAACTTCATTCATTCAAAAAAAGTTTTCTGAGTGCTCACAATCTACTAGGAACTGTGCTAGGTGCTAGGGACATAGCATTGACCCAAATCTGCTACAAACGAGGAAAATTTTCACATGTCCATGAGCTAATTAGTAAAGGAAGAACTAGATATCAGCTCTCCGGGGGTCTTGACACTGCTCTTTATTAACGTATTTGTTCACTTGGTTCTCTTCTTCCAGTCTCAAAGGTCACAAGGGGGCCTGTGTGGAGATGGGCGGACACACTTTTCTTCCTACACTTCACGCCATTGCACGTAGTTCAGAATATGTAAATGCCAGTAGCAGCTTCAGCCCTCAGCAGGAGCAGAGCTGCCCAGGGGTGGATGTTGCATCCAGTCTCCCTGTGGTCAGGCACACGGGGCTTCGATGTCCGTGTGTGCCAGTGCTGGAAACGTCATGCACCACACTCGGTAATAGGGTGGCTAGAAGTAGAAGGCTTGAAGATACAGAAGAGCTCCTGGCACTTCTGACGTCACATCCTTTATCCCTTAGGCATCAGCATGTAAATTTTTAAAATCTTCAACTAGAAGATGTGACTTTCATTTTCATGGAAATAGTAAAGTATTTTCCCTATTCTTCTTTGGATAAGATCAAACAGGGTTATTTCAATACAATGTGAAATAAAACATTTGTGATTTCCAGCTGGATATCTTTAGCTACTGAATTCTGCCTACATGCAGTTTCTAAAAAATACTTCTGAAAAATAGATTAGAGAGGAAAAGCACTAGATGGCAGTAGCAGAAAGAGCTCCAGCTATGGTACAAACACGCTCAACAAAATGAGGCTCACTTAATGTACAGGTTAAATTTAGCAGCTCTGCTGTGGCATTTGACTATTTATAAAATACAAAGAAACTTGATAAAAGCATGAAAATATTAAGCATTAGAAACCCAGGAAAAAACTGGCTAATATTTATAAAGAATAGTTTGCACCATAAAGAAGATGGGGGGGGGGGGGCATGCTTAAAACACGACAAATTATTTAGATAAAAACTGGAAAAGTTAATCATCTGGATGTTTTCTCTATAGGTAATAAAACATTCTGATATTTGCTGTATAAACACAAACTTTTCTGGCTAATAAAATTGTTATGTATAGCCATTCCCTGTGGAAAACACGAGCTTTAGAGGGACCTAAAGCAGGCAATGGAAGACACCTGGTGCATTATAAGCAAAAGTTATAAGAGGAAAAGCATGGAGGGAAATGTAGAGCCAGGAGCAACAAAGAACTGTGAAAGAAAAGAAATATGTATGTATTGGGGGAAATGAGAGGAAAAGTGCAGTGGATATTTTTCAAGATTTCTGAAGTGACAAAACTGGTTTGAACTCTAATCTTAAAAGAGAAGGAATTTAAAGTGGTAACAAATAGTTACAACTACAGATCAGGGAATAGAACGGATGTATGTTGAACCAGTAATAAAGACAGATTTAAAAAGATCCACAGGGATCACGCATTGTAGTTTGAGCCAGAAGGAGAAGAGAAAAAGACACCCTTCAAGGATATAAAAGCAAAACACAATAGTTTTTAATGCGAGTTTAGGAGGGAATAAGTCACAAATGCTTTAGTGCAGAAGTCTGCTGTGTGGTGGCTGTCTCGGAGAATCTCATCTGACACCTCATAACCCTATCATTCACTCTAGCTGGGCGACAGCCTGCCTTTGCAAATGATGTTAATGGAAAATGTACCAACATCTTTCAATGACATTTACTTTTGGTATACCCCTCATATTCTCTTTTCCCTCTGAGAACATTACTATTTCATTTTTTTTCCTGGCTTCCTCTCCTAGTACTTAGTTAAGTAACTTCTTTATGTAAATTAAATAACTTTTAGTTTCAGCTAAACAAAACACCAAATTTGGATTTACTACTATTAATTACATTACTTATTAAGAAGGTGTCTCAATACTGAAGACTCGCTGTGCTTATTGTGGTTCGACATTCATCTCATCATAAAGTAGAATCTAAATGACAGCAAGTCAGAAAACTGGGCCTTTAAGCCTGGCCTGTCTAAATTAACTGCAAAAACTAAATAGAATTAAATAAGTTGAAAGGCATTTCATCTTTATTTTTCTTCACTTTTTTCTTCGCTCTTACATTTTAGAAGGAAGAAATTTATTTTTAACTTTGCTTTTTTTTTTCCATTCCATACTATTAAACATGTAACATTTTGGATTCATGAGTTTTGGAGTGATGCTACTAAAATTACCATAAATTAAGTTTCTAAGACGTGAAATCTGTTTCCTGTGTCTGAAAGTTCGGAAAGGCTTCTGTGATGTATGGTACATTCCTTCAGAAACAATGAAACAAAATTGCTTACACTTTCACTTTCAATAGGTTAATACTATTTAATCCACCTTTCCTCTAGGCTACGTGTAGAGTACGCCTTGGTGGCGCCAGCACTGTCTTGCTTATCTTAATTTGGGATTGTGAGTCTAAGCAATTTACCCCAAAATATATCAAAATGTCTCTACTACCTTTCTGCGCAAGCTCGAGTTACACAAGTCACACGTGTGAAGCTACTTATTACTGAAACAGAAGGAGAAAATGCACTCATCTAAATAATTGGCTTCAGTTAACTTTTTTAAACTTTTAAAGCAAAATAGAAAATCATCATTTAAATGAACCCGAATGGTTTTAAGACCACCTCTGAAGAAAGCTGATGTAATTAATAATGTACCAACATTTCCATCTTAATAGATGAGGGAAATGATATAGAGAAGTTAAAAGCAGTTATAGTCTGTGCATATACAGAACTGCCTGTGGAAGGAAGTTCAGATGTCAATGATCAGATGCTAAGATTTTGAGGTTCTGGATCAAAGTTACTTAGTAAGGTCAGCATCTCCATTGTTATCATCATTTTATTTTAACTAATATCTATTGGGCCACCAAACAGCACAGGTTTATACTGAATATGAACATCATCCCTGATTTTAAAAGGCAAGCTTAGACTAAAGCAGGAGGTGAAGAGAGTGGAGGGGTCAGAATATTCTCTTCTTCAGGACAAACAGCAGGGAAAGACCAGTGGGCCCTTTTTCTTGGGTGGATTGTTCTGTTTTGTTGTTTGGGAGGGGTGGTCCCCCCTTGAGGGGCATTTCAGGCAAAGAGGCTCAGACGAGGAGACTGTTGAGATCATAGTCCCACCCTGGTCTCTCAGCCTCCCTCTTTGCTCCCTGGCTGCTCGCTGTAGGCAGTGGCCTGGGCCCAATGAGGAAGGTAGAAGGCGTTTAAGGACAGAACCTGTTGAAATGAAGATGCTCTCTTGGAGGGGCCGCTCCCTGTCTCCAGTGAATCCCTAAAGCTCTGCTAGGAAGCAAGTCTTAAAAAGTATGGAATGTAGGAGTCCAGCTGTGCTTTCTAACAGTGGAGTTTAATGAAACAGAGAGAATACTTGAGAGAAATGAGGAGACTAAAGGTTTAAGAACAGGATAATGTGTTAAGTATTTAGTTGCTGCTTTAGTTGGTGGTGTTCTTTCCCTCTGTGCTGGGAAAGGGGCAGGGATTAGTGAAAATTAGTGAAAGTCAGCAGTCACCGGAAGTGGGTCTTTGACACCTGTAGATCCTGATTTAGAGAGAGCTTGGAGGAGGTAAGGGAAGAGGAAAATGGAGCTGGAGAGGGAGGGTGTGGAAAGGGAGACCGCCTGGAGAGAGGAGGTGGGGCCCTCCTGACTCAGCCTGGAAGTCAGGAATTCCAGTTTCCAGGACCTCACACTCTGCAGCTGGTGCTGCGCCTCCCTGAAGCTCCCAGCCATGCGTCTCCTGGGCAGTGTCTTGGCCTTTCTCCTCATAAACACCCATGGAGGGTGCAAGGCCGAAATAGGTTAGAGGTTTCCCCTCCAGGTTATTTTCTCACTCTCTGAAGAACTTGTAATTGAAGTGGAATAATAACAACACTTCAGCATTTTATATGATTTTACAACTTGAAAGGACAAAAACTTTAACAATTGAAAATACGTAGATTTCTCATTTTAGTTAATGAGCTGAATCTATTCTATGGTTGCAAATGAGGCTCAGAGAAACTTAATTTGAGGACATTACTGCACAAATATGATTAGCAGTCTAATAAATGCAAACATTATTTCCGTACAATATCTTTAACCAAAATGGGGCAAGGTTCAAAACGTGCATATTTTCTACCAAAAATTTTCAGAAAACGCATCTTTTTTTGTAATTGGACACAGCATTTTCTCCATTTAAACAAATGATCCCACTACAAGATTCTCAGTTGGAACAATTATAGTTCTATAATTTGAATTACATCACTACGATTTTAAGTAGAGGTCACTTAAACTGTTGTGATAGGTGGTGATATGGACATTGTACTACCAGGCCGGCCTAACAGCCTTTCAGAGAGCTAGAAAAGGCATTTCCGCACCCCACCTCAGGGCTGACAATTCTGTGCTCAGTACACTCTTGACAATTGGGGCATGAGGTGGATTTCAAACTACTTACTCCAGAGCCACCCTTGTTCAGGGCATAGTCCTATTGACTGTGATTGGGGCAACCTTGATTGCTAACCTCAAATCTTATATTGTAAAATAAGTGTGCTTAAATTATTGATTTCTTACATTTAGTAAATTGTCCTATTAAGTTTCACATCAAGCCCTTTCAGCTCTCTAAGAAATATTTAGGCTGAGAGTTTTAAAACTGTAAGGTCCGTAAGGGTCCATGTTCACTTTTGTGTTCCCATCTAGTAGAGTGTCACATAGCAAATGCGTGATAAGTATGTTGAATGAATGAATGAATGAATAAATGATAAATAGAAGGAACAAAGCATGAGTTTAAGTTTCAACACTCCTTAGTAGTTTGGCTAAAGCTCTGAGACTTGTATTTCCACCATTAACAAGGGAATAATCCTAATCACATCACAGGATTACTGTGAAGATTTCAATGAGAAGATAAGAAAGCCTTTTTCAACAAGAAAGACATTCAAACATGTTACTATAATGATTATTATTTAGAATGCCAGTTATATTTTTTAATCTATTTACTACTTGGCAGAATTTCTAGACTGTGTACATCTTAATTCATTATCTAATTTACACAATCCAGAATAAAACAATTTTTGTTTTTGTTGCTGCTTCAAAATACCATTAATGTCAAGAAGTGCTTTTGAAAAAAATGTTTGAAAGAGTTGGCTTAATATTTGAAGCAATCCTGAGAGGTAGCTATTAACCCATTTTGTAGAAAAATGAAGATAAACGAGAGTTCTGAATCTAGCATGGCCAGTTTTGAACCATAGAAGCGTTTGTTCAGCACAGAAGGGCCAGATAATTCAAATATGCAGACCAATCCTGAGTGTTTCACAGACCTTATCACTACTCAAAGATAAGCATGGAATTGTCCTGATCTTGGTGCAATCTTAATAGTTAGACTTAAACTTAATAGTCTCCTTATAAGCACATGAATCATTTCTCCTCCATACAGTAGACATAACTGATTAACACTGAAAATATCGGAAAACTTTAATTACTCTCTAGGTATTGATCTGATCAGAACCTCTACCATCAACACCAGTTTACACGTATTCAAAACACTGTCTCGGGCAATTTTGAGAAATGAATAGAAAATGGATAGGAAGAAAATATCTATTTCACGACATTATATGAAAAAGTCTCCTGACTCTAAAGTTTGAAAACCCACTCATTGATTTGAGCATCGTTTCCCTTGGTGCACCTCGGACCATTTGTCCTGTATTGCGATTGTGTATGGGTTTATCTACCCTTCAAGACTGTAAACTTATTGAGAGTAGGAACTCTGTATTTATGTTTCCACCCATCTCACAATGTCTTCCAATACTGAAGCCAGTTCCTTGCTAGGTGTGATTCAACATTTGTGAATGAAGGTTGCTGTTCGCCAAATTAAAAGCTTAAATAAAAATTTACTCTTTTTTTGGGGGGGTGTCAGCTTTATTAATATAATTCACATACCACACAGTTCACTCATTTTAAGTATACAATTCATGTTTTTCAGTATATTCACAGAGTTGTGCAACCATCACCTCAGTCAATTTTAAAACATTTTCATCACCCCAAAAAGAAACCCCATACACCTTATTTTTAGCCATCACTCTCCAGTCCTCTCAGCGCCCCAGCCCTGGGCAGATGCTCATCTATTTAAAAATAGTTGCCTCTCAGTGTTGCTGTCTCGATAGATGTGGCTGTTCTGGACATGTCATATAAATGGAGTCACATAATATGTGCTAAAACTTACTTTTGAGGTAAAACCAAAAGCACGGATTTAAACATGTAAATAGTCTTTTGTCACTTCTGTCATTTTCATTTGGCATGCCATGTCATTTCACAAATTTTTTTTCATCTGTTGTTCTTTCAAAAACACATTTTAGAAAAGAACAAGATCTAGTCTTGTTTTCAAAAATATCTAAATATTTTAGTTATAAACATTGATCTAATTTAAATTTAAAAAATGAAAAAATGCCCTGTGTTATTACTCTTTTAACTTATAGCCATATAAAAGTGCAAATTGATACTTAGGGTCTTCAGATTGAGCATTCCCTTCAACTCCTTCACTGCGGCGTCTATGTTTGTTAACTCATTGTGGTGAAGCTGGAGTATATGCAAGGAGGGCAGGTAACGCAGGCCTAAACAAAAGACAAACTTTGTTTTTACAAGATTTTAAACATTTTCATTGCTAATCAAACATGCTAACTAAACAAAAGCAAAGAATACATTACAGCTGGTGAAAGGAGGCATTATTATTAATAACATTGTGAACCATCATTAAGAATACAACAAACATAAGCATCCAAATAATTGAGTGTAATGTGGGAATGTAGAGTCAATTTATTTCCATCGTTATGATTTTACTTTTTCTTCTCTGTATCAAAGACTTTTTTAAATTTTAGAGAGGTTCTTTTCTTACTCTTCTTTTTGGTTTGGTTTTGCCAATGTTAGTTAGAGTTACAATGCTAATCAAGGGAATAATTACTCATTTAATTCAATATCTCCCCCCAAACTGCTCAACCAAATATTTTCTTTACACAACAGGAAGCCAAATATTCATATCATTTTTGTTGATTCTAAGTTGCACATTCTCCCACCTTTTTATCATAAGTAAAAGTGGGTTGTGTCTTTGTGATATCCACATCATAGTTTAATTGGCAAGATTTTCTTTCTTCGTGGTGCATGGAATAATGGTGGATCTTAAAACTTATAACGTTTTGATTTTATAATATATGGTATTACAGAAAAACTTTTTCTGCTATGCCTCTTTGTATTTCATAACCATAATACATTACGTACTTTTATACCTGGCTTGAAATTGTCAGTTTAGAGATTGCTGCGCATATAAAATTAATGCAGAGTGAAAACAGGAATTTGGCTGGTAAAAATTATAGCTAGTAAAAACATTAAGACTATTTATATAGTTGTTGTATTTATTAATGCTCCCAAATATTGTTAAAATTTGCTTCCACAGTATCTAATTTGTGTCCAACTGTGCAGAATGGCGAAATTTCTATGTTAAAAAAAAAAGATTCTTTCACATTTTGAACAAGACACATAAAAGCAAATTTCTTAAAATAAAAAGTACATAGGAACATTAAAAAAATAGACCATCACATATTTTCAACAGAAATGTTTAAATAGATTTTTGCATGCTATTAACAATACCACGGTTGAAAGTTATTACTTAATTGAAAATTTATTCAATTGACAGAGAAAATTTAAGACCTACCTTCTATCTCAAATATTGCATTGTTGTTTAGATATAGTTCTGTCAGACAACAGTTTCTAGTTAAAAATGTTATTCCATGGAGCTGAAAATGAGAGTTAGAGAACAATATACTTTCTACAATAATTATATAAATGTATAATATTGTATATACATAATTACAATAAGACCACAGAAGTTTGATGCTTGCTGTTATTAATTATTTGTGACCTTATTGTCTAGGATGTGAGTTTGCATTTGGCTTGTCTTTGAGGGCAGTGGGATAAAAAGTGTGTTTTAAGCTAGCTTAATACAAACCTCTCTTACTATGGTAAGACCAACTCCCTTGCAAGACTTTGAAAGCCTCTGTAAGCTGGCCTAGCCCTAGCTCTAACATTTCCCACAATTCTCCATATAGTCTCACTGGATCTGGCTCCACATATCCACTAATTCACCGTCACATATGATTAAGTGCCTATTATATGCCAAGGGCTCTCCCCTCAGATAATGAGGAAGCCATTTCTGCTTCTGCATGATTTCTCTTTGCCTGCAGGACTTTTCTTCCTGGTACATTTCCGATTATTCTTAAGGATCAGCCCTAGGCTAGCAAGGTTTATCAAACCATGCCTGAGCCAGCCACCACAGGCGGTTTTGACTGCCCCAGGGATTTGTGGAAAACATCCTTTGATCTCCTTGCATCTCTCTACTATCTTCTCACTCTCTTTTGACCCACGTGTTCTTTCTCTAAACTTCCACCCACTCCAGCACATTGAGTCAGATCTCCTGAATGATGGTCTAATTCTGAACTCTTTCTTAATTCTCATCTCCTCTTTTCAGGCTCACTGTCCTTCTAGTAAACGGATCTCCTCAGTTTAGCTGAGGACTCTATAATCTGAGTAGACACAGGAGGCAACTCTTACAGGTCAGGCCCACTTCTAACAGCTCAACTGGCCACATCCCAAAGGAGAGGGCAAGGCACAGCATAATCCTGTTACTGCACAGCTCATCTTTTGAAATAAGACCTTTCCTGACAACCCCCATACGAACCTCCATTTTCTTGACTACTTCCCGCTCCATTTGACTTGTACAATTAATCGTTTGATCACTAGTTTTGTGTCTTCCTTAAGGAAAGTAACCACATTTCTTCAGTATCTTATCCTTCCCACCTCCCCATTCTCCTAATGATATGGTGAAGTTGTGTCTGACTTTTAAGATTAGAAATTCAGTCTATATGAATTGGAAATATGTAGTCAAAGGCCCTCTTGAAAATTCCTCAAATGAACCATTCAGCACACTATACATGATATGGGGTATCCAACACACAAAACTGAAGATCAGAAATGTTTGTTACCCTGCAAGGAGAACTCCATTATTTTTTTTTTAATATTGACTCTATAACCTTGATAAAATTTACAGATTTGTTTGAGTCATGAGGATGAGACATGGTGGAGTCATAGAGGCGGGGCAGGTATCCTCTGACAGCAGCCGGCAAGTTCAGTATAGCAGGTAAGTGGCTGCTTAATACACGGTCTAGCAGGGAGAAGATTTTCTGGAAATAGTTATTGATAAATGCTTAGTACTTTAGATATACCGCAATATAGGCTTATGATTATAAATTCGTTTTATGTGTTTATTAAAGCCTATCCCAGGAACTATTGTTATCAGTTAAATAGAATTGTTTTGGCCTTTGATGGGTTAATTCAACTTATCTGATTTAGTGAGGATTTACTGGAAATTTTACTCCTGGCCTCTCATATCTCAGAAAAGCGATTTTAGATTTGTAACCAAAGTTTGAATTTGTAACCAAAGTTTGAACACCGGTTTCTTTAATGATTTTTCTTTAAGTTGTTCTTATATTTGCAACATTCACAAATTGTGACGCTACAAAAGGCATGTGTGCTGCTCATCTCCTCATTTCACGGATTCATTCTACACCAGATTATGTCAGCACTCATGCTGGAGGACCACCAATAATTTCCCCACAGCTTTTGTTAAGTCATGAGAGGAACCATGTTTTCCACAGGTGGGAGGGGTCATTGAAGGCAGTGAGGGGTGGGTCCCAGTTGGTTGCCTATCCCTTTCTACTTTTCTTACTGGCTTCCTGACAGCAACTCACTGCCTTCTGTCCTCCTCACCACTCCCTGATCTAATGATAGCCACACCTGACATCAGCATAGAAAAAGAACACCAGTGGAAACCACAACTTTTTCTTCCCTTTTTCCAGTTCTCTGCCAATCACACATTAATAAAGCATTGCTAATTAGCTGAGGCTTTAATTTCTCTTGCATTACTCATTAACACAGGAAGAATACTAATAAACTCAACAGTTTCATCTTGATCATAGAATCAAAGTTTTCCCAAGAGCATTAACATCCTTGGCCATGATCATTGGGATTTTAAGATTGCACTATTTGTTGGGGTCAGATGTGTAGGGGGAGTGGCATGGAAAGAGATAAAGCCAGATTATGAGGACCTTGGGGAGCTTTTAAAAGATTTTGTGCAGAGGAGTGCTATTGCCCTATTTTATTTTAGAAAGAAAATGGAAGGGAAGAATGTAGTTTAGAAGGAATAGTAAGTATAATGGCAGGAATGAATAGGAGGAGTGTTACGCTAATTCAGAAGAATATATGGTGGCCCAGAGTAGAGTAATGGCAGTGGGAGAAGAGAGAAGTGGAGCGAAATGAGAGACAGTTCCAAGGTAGAGTTCACAGCACTTAATAGACATTGAAACGTAGCAAGTTGTTGAAGTCAAGATCTAGGAACAGAAATTGGAGAACCTGCTGATTGTCCTGAAACTCAAGCCCTTATTAAAGTAAAATGTTATTATAATTATCCATTTAGAGAAATCTATACTATTGATTCTAAGGATGGCCATAGCATTAATATTTAATGTGACATTTCACAAATCACACCTTAGCTCAAGACTTGGCACATAGTAAGTGCCCAATAAACAATAGCTATTATTTATTTATTGGTTAACAGCTACTATTTTTTATAGACCTGGAGGCTCATACATTTAGTGTCAAGCACTTAAAGGTAACAACTGAGGTATAGTGGGGAAAAATGAATACCAGAATGAATTAAGGAGGCTTCTTTTAGAGCAAGGTTTCTTAACCTCTGCAACTATGGACATTTGGGGCCTGATAATTCTTGGTTGGGGTTGGGGGTCTGCCCAGTGCATTGTAACATGTTTAGCAGCATCCCTAGTCTCTACCCACTAGATGCCAGTAACATGCACACCTCAACTGTGAGAATCAAAAATGTCTCCAGACATTGCCAAATGTCACGTGGGGGTGGGGGCGGTGTGCAAAGTTGTTCTCAGTTGAGAACTGCTGACTTAGAGTCAAGAAAAGAGGACAGATTCATATTTAGTAAGTGCTGATTATGAGCTGAGTAGTAAGCTAGATATTTTCACAGACATTATTTAATATGGTCCTTACAATAGCTCCATGTTATTTGCTTTATCCTTCATTTATCTAGGAGGAAACTGAGGCTCAGAGAAGTTAGACAATTTTCCCCAGGTAACAGAGCAAGGATTCAAACTCAAGTCTGTCTGACTCTCAAATCAAAAACTGGCTTATAGTACATCGTTACTGGGCTCTTTAATTTGGAGGAACTTCTGTATAAACCATCCAGATGACATTAATTTGAACATACTTTGAAGAAATGGAAAATATTGTTGTTTTGAGTAATGGAAAATATTAGATTGAGTGATAGAAAATAGTATTTCAGCAATAACTCCAAAACATGTCTAAAATGCACCCAAAAATATTCAGCAGGAAATGGAAAAAATAGAAGAGAAATATAATAGTTTAAAAATATAATTATATATAGTTTCTCTTTCTCTCAATATATAGAAAGAGATATACAGATATAAACTTATTTGCCTGACACGTAGTAAGGCTACATCCTGTTTATCATTATTTGAAAGTGTTTAGCTATGTTTTGGGTTATTACTGAAATGTGTATGAGTTTCTTTGATCAGTACTTCACATATGCCACCTCATTTCTTTATCATGACAACCCTTTGTTAGGAAGAATAAATGCTCCCTATATTAGATAGAGGAAGCTGAACTCTGGAGAGATTATGCAATTTCCTAAATATCATCTGATTAGTAACAGCTGATTAGTAACAGCACCATAACTATACCTGAACACAGTTCAAAATCCACTTATTAAATACCTACCCTCTTCCAGGAATCACTTACACAGACATTGGTGCTATTCTTTTCTTTTCATCTGTCTAAACATTATTTAATGAAATATGAGATGCACTTGTCATTATTGTTTAGCTGCCCGGCATCTAACACTCCTCCCCACAATTCAAGGAATTCTTCCTCTAATGAGTCTTGGTGGGAATCAGAACCTACTCCCCATTAGGCAAGATATTTGCTTTTCCAGATTTCCTGCCAGGTAGGTGTGACACATGACTAGACCAAGCCAATCTGATGCCTTCCCTCTGAACTTTGAATCAAGAACTAGTAATGCAAAGAAGTGGAGATAGCTGAGAGTTAATTCTGGTGTTGGCAGAGATAGAGACAGCAACGTTTGTCTCCACAGCAGTGGAAACAGTGGCACTGGTGACGGTGGAGGGGTCCAGCAGCTGGTGCTGGTGACAGGCAAGCAGCAGCACAAGCTGGGGCTTCCATTGTTGACTGGCAAGTCAGTAGTGTTTGTGGAAATCAGTTCTGTGAAATGGTTTTGACCATGGCTCCCTTTGATCCTGAGAATTTTCTACACTTGATTCTTAAGCTACCTAATACCTATCCAATACCTTTTCAATATATTATTTTTCTGCTTAACTTAGCCAAAGCATGTTTCTGTTAAGTGAATTTCTGTTACTTTGACTAGCACCTATGCAAAGAAAAGTTTAACTTGGCAGACCTAGCTCTGATGTCAAATAAACAGAACCTGACATTTGTGAATGAACAAAAAAGCGTAATGCTAAGCAAAAGATTATCAATTTACCCTCCTCAAACTTATAATTATGATCAATTACATATCATTTGTGACTCTCTGACCAAATGGAAATATTTCATTTATTAGAAAACATTAGTATCTTTGTTTACTCATTCTTCCATGCAACAAATATTTGTTGAGCTGCTA